CACCCCATACTTGAATGAAATGGGGGAGTCAATAATGAAAAAGACGGTTCCAATAAGCTTAACAGCCGGTCGGTGTTGGAATCCACGAAAAGCAGCCCCATACTCGAATGATATCGGAAAAAGACAGTTCCAGTCGGCTTTAGCAGGAGGTTGATGTTGGAATCCACGAAAAGCGGCTCTTTCAGTAGTTATTGGCCTAACGTCTATTTCAGTTTTTGGTTCATTTGGATTCCACAACCACAAGCCGTTCCGAGGACATTGCAAGTTGGCCGCTATGAAATTATGTCCACTGAAAAAACTTTTTGGACAGGTCAGGCAGGCGGCAGCCTAACCAGGGCCAGAGCCGTCCACCTTCTTGCCACACAATGTTGAGTCTCCTTTGACCACCACCAACCATGCAAACTACTTTACACTTCAGATTTAGCCTTGGATTCCACTGTATAATGTGATAGGTTTGATTTCATCGCATCATCAATTATATTTAAATATTAATTTTAATAAAATTTTTTAATAATAATTATAATTATTATTTTTTAAATTAATTTCATCATTTATTTAAATAAAATTTTAGACATATACACTTGAAAATATTAAATATGGGGTTAGTAAATGTTATTCAACTCTATTTTAATATTAAATGATTAAATCCTAAAAATGGATTGTAACTTATATATAATTTTAAATAAAAAATTCAACAAATCGAACATTATTTTGTCACTAATCATATTTTTAGTATATATATTTTTTCTTTATAAAATTATAAGTACAAAAAAATTATGATCATAGTTAAACATTATATATATGACTATTAAATAATTAAATAAATAAAATAATCAACATATCAACATGTAATTTGACAGATTTAATATAAAATTAGATTAAACTATCATGGTGTAACTTGAATAATGGACATATATATGAAAATAATAAGTGGACCTCAAATAAGATTGGAGTAATAACTTGTTAAAGCTATGTTGGATAACATATGGAAATAATGGCAATTGGCTTCAATCAAAGAATATTTAAATACCGTATCATCAAAGTCATCAAATAAGTAGTAAGAGGCAACCAATTAAGCCTTGAAGTTCAAATGTCTTGGCTCCTTAATTTTCGGTTCAATTTGGATCTTAATCATCTAAAAAATTTTATAATTTAAATAAAGCCCTTTTTTTAAATTTTGCCAATTAATAAAAATTAAAAATATTTTTTTATATTTAAGATTATAATATAACTGTTGGGAAGAACATATTTTTTTATTTCGTTACTAATATATTTATGTAAAAAATTATTTAATACATTATCAATAAAAAAATTTTAAATTATACTAGCAGAATTAATAGAATGATAAATATTTTATTTTTTAATTTTTAAAAAATATATAAAAAATATATATCATCTTATTAATATTATTTATAAAATTAAAAAATTACAGATAAATTTCTATTTATAAATTTTATAATCTTTTAAAGGGAAAAAAAAAAAAAAAAAGAACAAGGGAGTGTTGCAATCGTGCGTTACGTGTCAATCCATGATCCAGGCAGCTCAACGGACAACGTTGAATTACACATCTCCACGTGTACTCTCTTTCTTTCCATACCGTTGCCCTCGATTGCAAGTTGGAAGCCACGTGGTACCTTTTACTTCCGTAAAAATCCAATAATTATTGTCCGTCGCGATCATGCTACGTAGAGCAGGAGCAATCTATACTAGTACTAAATTAACAAACAGTCAAAGAAATGTTTTGACCACAACAAAACACACCCGTTTATAGGGACGGTAACAGATAGAGTCGAAACGAATTTTTGTTCATTTTAAATTTAATTTAATTTTATATTTATAATATATGAATTTGATTTGATTTAATTTAATAAATTTTTTTTATATTTAAATTTAGTTTGATTTAATATTATATAAATTATATTTTATTTAATTTAATTTAAAATTAATAAAATATTAATTTTAATGTAAATATAAAATTAAATAAAAAATTTTTATATATACCAAACTAAATCAAGTTTTTCTAAAATTCAATCCTATTTTTTTTATTATTATCTTATTCAATTTGATCTAAAACTTAATTTAAAAAAAAATTAACTTAAAAAAATCAAATCAGATCTAAATCTATCCAAACTGTCATCTCTAATTGTTTCTCTAAACTGAAAAAATAAGCTCTTACATATGTAATGATTTGACTAGTACCTTTTAAATATCCCATGTTGTTTAAATAAAATTTTTATTTGTTATTTCAAATATTAATTCAAATGGCTTGATCGATGATGTAGTTTTTTAAAATTATAAATATAAAAATTTATATATGTAATATCACAAATAAATTAAATAAATAAAAAGTAAATGTCAATTAAGAAATTAAAAAAATTGGATAGATACAAACATATGAAATATATTAATAACATTTTACTACTACTAAATTATGCTTAATAAGTATAATTATTATTTAAATAGAATGATTATGATAAATCAGTCTTAGTAATAGGTGTTAAGCATTTTTTTAATGAAATATAAATATAAAAAAATTATAATTATAATCAAATATTATATTCATACATAATATATTATTAAATAATCAACTATTAAATTAAAATATAATCAGACAAACAAATTCTTTTACAATCAAACTTAAACCTAAAATTTTAGAGCTCTAAAATCTATTCCTTTATTAAGCATCTTTATTAATCAGTGATTTGATGCAAATTTATAAAATATATGATTTAAGTCGTGATTAGGTGTGAAGCTAAATGAAGAGCATTTAGGTGTATTCCATATTAAATTTTAATAAAAATAATTTTTTTTCTTCAAATTACGATCATTACATAAAAAAAATTATTTATAAAGCGACATTCTTAACAAAAATACTAAAAACTTTAGTCAATAAGAGTGAGATTGTTTACATCAATGATTATTTTTTAATTTTTTATCTTTTAAATATTTGCAAACCAAAATAGATATTATTTAATCAAAGAATATAGAAAGCTAACCTTCATATAGTAAAAAAAAATTCATATGATATATAACTGATATTGAGGACTATCATTAAATTATATATGTTATAAGTTGATAAATTAATTGGGGTATCAATTGGGACTACCAAATAAAAAATTATATATAGCAAAAGATTTTTTAAGGTAACCATTCTTTGAAGCTGTGGCGTAGGTCCATGGATAAACAATTTAACCAGAATTAGGCATTGAATTTTAGTAAGGAGAAGGGCATTGAACATATGATTTAAAATTTTAAAATTTGAAATAAAAAAATAATAAAACCTTGCATAGCTTCTCTTACTTATATATAAACACATATTTTGTCTTCTACTTCTTAGCCTAACGATAAAGAAATTTTTTTAAAAAAAATTAGAATTTGAGTTCGAATCAAACTATTCTCTTCCCTCTTTTCATGTAATAGGATGTTACTCTTTTTTAAACAAAAATATATATATAAATATATATATATATAAAATTAATAATAATCAAAATCTTTCGCCTACAGACCATATGAATACATAATTAATAATAATCAAGTCAAAAATTAATGCATCAGCGGACTGACACATGCTTAAATTATTAGTAAATATTAGAATACAATTGAATCTAAAATCATATACTCTAAGACATAATTACATTATATTTATTAACGTTCCAATCATAAAACATTTTTTTTTATGAGGTTAACCCTTAATCCAATGCCACCTACTAGCTTTGTCATTATCTTGTTCATATCGACAAAAAAAAAAAAAGGCTAATTGCTGATGTAATTTTTTAATTAAAAAAATTCAAATATTGCTAAAAATCATGCACTGACCATTAAAATCAATATATAGGTTTTTATTAAGAATGCTAACGTTAAGTTTACTTATAAACTAATCGGATTCGCTCATGTTTGTTTACCTGGAAAATGAAAATGATATGGATATACTATTCGGTGTGGGAAGTTGAATGTAGGAAACTTCGTTCAACGATATTAATGAAGTCGAGAATAATTTTATGGAATGGAAGTGACTTTAGACTTGGTATGAAGAACAAGATGAAAAATACAGGTTTGGTATTGAGAAAAGAAGAGAAGCAATGGAGGCTTCTTTGTTTTTTCTTTTTTTTTGGTTGGGGGGGGGGGGGGGGGGGGGGGCGCGGTTTCCGGATACAAACAAGCCGACATTGAGGAGTTTCGAGGCTGTGACTAATTTTAGTCAGGTTGCTAGACAGCCAAGTCAAAAAATTTTAATACAAGGTTGTTATTTTTCTTTTTGTAGTTTTAGACTTATTGGATTTGGGGTTTGAAAGTTCTAACATCATTGTCCAGGTGTCATAGTGTGATAATCTTGAACTGGTTGCTGTGTTAATTGTTGCGTTATAGAAGGGTTGAAGCATCGCGAATTTAGTTCAGATAATTAATGCAGTCGTCGTATGATATCATCTTTCAAAGTTTAAGTTAGATGGGATTGTAGGGACTGTAAAATTTTGCAGAAAACAAAATTTGAAGTCTGAGAGTGCTTAAAGAAAAGATGATGTTAGCAAGATTCCCTATGGCTATGGACGTTTCAGCCTCATTCCCCTTGGCTTTGACTGAAGATATGAATATGAACGGATTGCACAAGCCTGCACCTCCACTGTCTCATTCCAGAATCGACATTTTCAAAATCTCCATCACCGGTATCAATGAGGTCAAGCTTTGGTCTTCAAACAACTTATTCAGGAACATGGGAACCTCACTGTACATTGACATGATAGTCTTTGTTGAGAAACCATGGTATTTAAGCATGAATTGAGAAGCAGATTCTGATGCTGGATTTATCCCAGAAAAGAGAACAAATTCAAACTATCCACAAAGCCATTGGCCACATCTAGAAAGCATGTCTTGGGACATCTCTCCAGTCACCACCATACTAAAAGAGTATGGATTAGTGACATCGATTGTGGAAATCAAATTCATACCAAACAAAACAAGCTGAAATCCATTTTTGGATGGAAATGCAAGAGGGCCCAACAACATTAATGAATAATGATTGCATAAACATGATAAAGATTCACTAAAAATATGGCTGCACTATCTAGTTTCCTGCCTACATTTTCCCATATATAAGAACTTAATACATTTATTCGAGGAAAAAGATTTGACAGATTGAATTGACCTTGTAAACGGCAAGAAAATAACTAATTACAAATGTAATATGAATCCAATTTAAGTCGTGCACCAACCGTTCAAAGCCATCCAAAAATTTTCTTGTCCTACCTAGGAGATTTAGAAGAGAGACATTTTCCACAAGAGACAAGCTTCAATAATGAATGCGGTCTTCGTGTCCTAATCTTCAAGCGTGAGAGCTGTGGAACATAAGCAAAGATCTTAAAAAGGATAAACAAGCATTGTTAAAGCTATTGCAGAGAGTAAAATTATCAGACATTAGAAGGGGAAAAAAAGGTTGGAACAAATAGTAATAAGTTTTAATTGGAATAATGCTAATGTAAGAAGATTAGATATTAGATACCTTCCGACGAGTTACTCTAGATGCTTTCCAGCAAAGCAAGCTTCTCGACCTAGGTTCCAATCTCCTGATATTTACAACTATGAAGTTAATTCTTAGTTTAAGACACAGAAAATCATTAATATTCCACTTTCCTCTAAATTTTCATTGTAGTATGATCCTTAAGTCAATAAATACTAATTAAAGTTTTAGGGACTAGGAAAGACTTGCATAGGTTCACAGAGGGACAAGCCTCAAAAATGTGAAAATATACAAGGATTACCTAGCATTTCGTACCATAGTTTTGATAATAAAACAAGAGATTCAGCTACTTAACAATTTATCAAGCAACTCCAACCAGAAAACAAAGGCTGACATAGTTGTAGAATTATAATGGCACCAGATATACATACAGGTTCTCCTGTTCAAGCCTTTCAGCAATGGAAACTGCTTTGCACTTTGACCATCCATTTCGTTGTGTACATCCTTCTGCCTGCTGAATTACATATGCAAGGGAAACCTTGCTTCTAACAATGCTCTGACTCTGACTTAGTTTCCCAAGTTTCCGTCTTCCTGAAATGGACGCTGATGCCGATTTCCTATAAGCTCCAGCATCAGCCACCCTTGAACCTCTTCTGTTAGATTCTATGCCGTTGGCATGTTCACTATCCTTGGCTTCTCTTGGAGAAGCTGGTATTTCAACAATTTCACTCCTTCCTGCTTCAAGAGATTCAGGGTGTGTCGGCTGAGCTTGAGAGCCGACCCCAGCATCTCTATCTCTCATAACCCTTTTGTTAATACCAGCAAAACCAGCCGTATGCATCCTATTTCCAGAATTAGGCTCTGGATCCATGACCATCTGAGATGGACCATCCCTGGAAGATGGTAAAACAGGAAGTCCATGAGAGCCAGCACTCGCATCTTTCTTCACTGCACCTCTAATTTCAATTGTTACAGGAGAACCAAGAACAGACTCAAATGCTTGTAAAATATGCCCCCTAATTTTCTCTGCCTTAGATTTGGTCATATGTGAACTGAACATCAACTGTACAGTTGGGGCTGAAAGAAAAGAACACTCAATTAAAAGGTGAAGGAAACACTATAGTTACTAAGCAGAGGGAAAGCATTATTTTAGTTACCATCATGTCAAGTAAATTATCATCCCATTTCTAAGTGTGGCTGCTAGAGGTGATGCCAATAACAAGAAATCTTTGTAAATAGCGGGGGCGAAAAGGAATAAATTTTGAGCCTAATTAATACACAAAACTTGGATGTGGGTCATGGAGCTACCACCTAGATGAGAAGGAACACTTTGAAATCAAATTTGAGGGATATCTTATTCTGCCTTGGCTATGAAATTCATTAAATTCCAAAACCATTAAAATGCCAATGGTCAACACATTATGGCTCCAAGTTGCTAAAATTTCTCCTACATAGTCATTTAAGTAGCAGGCAACAATTGTCATCTAAAAGTACGTTACAGCCGTATGATCAAGGCACGCAAAAATGAGAATAATGCACACTAGGATGTACCTGCACCAAAGCTGACAGAGATCAGCTTTCCTTCTTGATACAAAAACTCTTTTAGACTACTAACTTGAATCTTCTCAAGCACCTCCAACCAAATTTCTTCAATTCCCCTACGATTTTTGACAAAATTCTGCCTCCCAGTAACCCTGATCAAATCAGCAGATACCGTGGATGTTTGTTGAGGAGCCATCCGAGTCACAGAATGTCTCTTCCTATCCAAACTTATACCATTCATGATGTCAGTTTCAACATCCCCTGAACTTCCTGCATGGAGATTTTCCAACCTAGCATTTGTAGACAGGCCTCTATAGTTATTATGCAGCATAACAAGCTCACCATCTTTCCTGGCTATATCTCTTCCACCCATATCACTTAAAGGCAAGGGACTATGATGAGAACTAGTATCAGTGGAAGAAATAGGCAACATATACTGCTGATCTGGAGCAAGCTGAAGTAAAGCAGCAGTTAGCCATGTTAGTTTGTCATTTGACATCCTCAGTTGTTTTTCTGCCTCAGATAACGTTTTCAAAGCTTGGCGTAGTTTCTCCATCTCTTCTTTGGACACTGGATTGCATAAATATGTTCTATCAGTTATGGAAGAAAGATAAATATTTAAACACAATCAATGAGTATTTGTCTATTCATTTATTCCTTTGTTTGTTCTACTTGGCTGCAATCTAGGAGCCACACAATTTCACAAGGCAAAAGTTGATGAGCCAAAAAAGGATTGAATAATGTAAAAAAGGGTACAAATATTTTTAAAAGATAATAATAATAAAAGAGCTACACCAAGTAAGATTCCCAAATATGGAACTTTAATGGGAGCATATATACAATTATTACCAAAGCTCGAGAGGAAATGGATGGTTTAGCCAATTATTTAGCGTTATTGTAAACATAATAAGAAATTTTCTCTCTTAAGACTCACATGGCAGTTGTCGAAAGAACTTCCTTCTATGCCTTTCTTTAGTGAAATCATAACTGCCAGCAAGAATATCAGTTATAACAGTAGCAAGCTGTGACATCAAAGCTAAAGGCTCCACACCAGTTTCCATTATCACCCTCAAACTCTTTACGGTGTTTACTGTGTCTGCAGATAACGCTAGATCAAGAAGATCCACCAGCTTTTCATCAGAGATAAGCCCAACCTGTGGATCAGATCCATAAAATTTAGAGCAATCATATGTAGAAATATCAGCTAATCACCATAAATCTTTTGTTCACTTTCGTTATTTTTCCCAACTTGCATACAAAGGTGTCACTCTTTACCCAGGCTTGAAGTATCCCTCAAAAAAACTAAAAAATAGAAAAGACCATATGCAGGAGTAACTTTGATTATGAAAAATCATAATAAGGGGAAAAATGCTATAAGTTGCAGTCCAATAATATTCAGAAAAAGACTGTCATGCTTTACCATTCAAGACAGCTTGACTTATCTAGGTGAACAAGATTGAATCAAGATTCATAATGCAAACCAAAATTTAGATTCCTAAGAAAAGAAGCCAAAGCCACCTTTGTCTTCTGTTTACAAAATCACAAAGCAAGACAATAATATAGGGAACTATAAGAGCATGTCTCAAAGCTCTAGTCAACAAAATAAAGAACAACCAGATTAGATCAAGTACAAAGTCTAGTGATATTACTCTTTTAGGAAACTTGGCCTTGAAACAACAGTAACCAAAATTTCCCAGGCACAGTAGTAATGACAACACCTAGCAGGCTAATTGAACTGGAAAATAAAATGAACATAGAATCATTTGAAGCAATATAAGGAGACCACTGGATTAATTTAATTTAGGAAGCCATACTGCCAGGGAAAAAAGGGGGTGGAGGGGGAGCCAATCAGAAACTCAATTGTCAATTGTTTATCAGCATATAAGGCAAGGAACAAAACTAGTGCATATTTAGAGCACTATTTGAAAGCCGAAAATATTAACCAGCGCATGGTGATATCAATTATTATACTAATATTCTAATTAGATTATGGAAACATACCAGTTCCTGAACCAGAGGAACAGAGATTTTTTGCCCAAGCAAACTCAACTGCTCAAGTGTCATCTCTGCATCCCTCAGTGATCCATCTGATCGAGATGCAATCAGCTTAAGTGCATCTTTCTCAATTTCAACGTCCTCTCTGGATGCAATCCACTGCAAAGTATAAATGATATCTGCATCCTTCAGTTTTGGGAAAAAGAATTTCTGACACCTGGATACGATTATATGAGGCAGAATATCAAGACTTGAACTGACAAGAATAAAGACCATACGCCTGGGTACTCGATCGATGACCTTTGATATGGCACTCCAACAATCAGAGGCTAAAGTGTCACAGTCGTCAAATATAAAAACCCTGTACTGTGAAGGCAGCTGAGAGATTATCATATTATCAAGTAGATCCATAATACTCTCAAAGTCAAAATTACTGACAGGACCAACTTCCCTTATATTTCGACTCTTACCCATATCGTGTGAAATACAAGAATTGCAAAAGCCACAAGGTTTGGGCTGTTCAAGTGATTGACAATTCAAAGCTCTGGCAAATATCCGAGCACAGGAAGTTTTTCCTGTTCCATGAGGTCCATAAAAAACATATAGCAATCCCACCTTCCTTTTCATGACAGCATTAGAAAGAGCTTGTGATACCAAATTTTGTCCAACAAGGTCTCTAAAAGTTCTTGGCATGTACTTTTGTGTGATATTTTGGTGCCTACCTCGGTGGCTCCTGCCTAACTTGCTTTGCTCACCAGATCTAGCTTCAGAAGCAAGGTCAGAATCAGTATTGCGCTTCAATAAATTATCAGCAAATATACCAAGCTCCCCTGAATAGTCATTCACCCAACCAGCATTCTCTGTACTGTCCCGAGATCCAGATGCCTCAATTAGAAGAGGCAGTGCCTCCGCGTTGGATTTTGCAGATGAGCTTGATTGATCAGATTCCACAGGCATTTCAGGAGCATTTCTACCATGGGAACTGGCCCCACCTTTCCTCAATCTAGAGTCAGATAAACCACAGGAAAAACTCCTTCCTGCAATGTCAAGGAAAGTTTTACCCCTGTGATGAATTCTTGACCAATTAAAGGGGATCCCACATCCATTTCTAGGGGCCCTGGAGACATTTTGCTCATCATATTCATTTTCCTCATCTTCCATGCCATAATTTGGACACACTGAACCTTGAGCAAATGAATTAGAAGCCACAGACAACTCATTCTGACCTCCAACCTCTCTAGAAGAAGGAGCAGTCTGAGATCTTCTTGGCCGTCGAAACTTGCGTCTTTTCACCCTGTTTAATCCAGTTGAATAACCATGGATGCTGACTACAGGTTCCTCACCAGTTTTCTCAGGTCTAACATGCCTTCCACGAAGGTGGACATTTGAAGATGCTACATCAGCACTATCCAGGGGCAGGTCATTCAATTGCTCAGATAGAATCTTCATTTGAACGCCTTGTGTTTGCTTCCCCTTTTGCTTTTTATTCTTCCTATCTTTCAGTCTAGAATTATCTGAGATAGCATCAGGAAGCAAACCATTGCCATCTTGCTCCTGTACAGGCTCCTTATTTTCACCCAAAAGATCAGTCCTATAACTTCTCCAACTAGATTCTTCTCTCCTAATTCTTCTACTATCTCTAGCTCCACTCTTACTACTACGGTCACTAATTGTTGGTACTCCTTCATTGACCCCACTAGCTTCACCCGGAGCAACTTTTGAAGTTGCAAAATTGGCTAAAGGTGGTGAGCTTACTGAAAGCCTCCTTCCTTCCCTCTCCATCTCAACACCCACAGACCTTCTCCCCTCCCGAACAGCATCCTTATCACCCTTCTTGGAAAGCAAATCAGCAACAGAAGGCGAGTGCCAAGAGGGAGAACTGGCAGAAGGGTCCCTGAGGGAGCGTGACCTTTGAAGGACTATAAGGTCCCTCATAAGCGATCTGTCAGCAAATATAGGGCTATGCTTATGCATATGGTTCTTCAAGTGGATACAATTAGTCAAATGAATGTGGTTGCGTAGATGATCACTAATATCACCATTCGCATCCTTGAGTATCCTATTTCGAACAGCCCTGGTCATGATCACAGCACTAATGTGTTCGATTGCAGAACCTCTTTTGACTTAAAGAAACATAACAAAATATATCGCATTTTCATTAATCTTGCACGCCCCAAATCTCTCCTTAATTATGGCTATATAAAAGGCACCAAAATTCCTCACATCCTACTAATTATTCAGCAAAACTGTCTTAACTACCAAACTTGAAGCTCTCACAGATCTTTCCTCAAAAACAAAGCATTCAGTTGCAAGGGCCACAAACCCATTTGAGATAATCAAGCCAAAAACTTGAAAATTTCCCATCAAGCACAAGCCCTTTAAGCTAGCCATCATATACTCAAAGGCACCTACAAGTGTAAACCAAAGTAAAATAACAGAAATACCTTAGAAAGCCAAGTAAGTAAACTTCCAAAAATTCAAGCTTGAAACCCCGGAGCTGTAACTCTAACTCCACAAGGAAGCAAGAAGAGCTCTTTGTACCAAAAGCTTCCAACTTCAATGCATCACAGAACCCAGAACTTGAAACATGCAAAAACAAATCATAGAACAAAAAAAAAAAAGCCAAAAGAAATCTACTAGTCTCAACCTTGTACCTTTAAATCCCTCAAAGAATATAGCTTTTGAAAAGAAACGGGCAGTAGAGAAAAAAAAAAAAGGAAGCTGGAGGCTAAAAACCCATGATTTCAACGTCCGAAAAAATAAGCAAGCAAGAAGAGAAACTAGGTAAAGAGGGATAGGAAGAAGAAGAAGAAAGTAAAGAGACGGTGTTTTCAACTGCATTCACCTGATAAATCCCAAAAAGCAAAGTGAACCGTTCCCATCATTAAGAACCCCCCATAGATCTCTCTCTCACACACTCTTTTTATCTGTTTCTCTCTCTTTGTCTGCCACCCCACTTCAAATGTTCTTTCACAACCCTGGGTCTATCTTTCAAAAGAAAATGATAGTCCCCCACAACCAAAAATAAGAAAAAACCCAACCAAAGAAACAGAGTTCCTTTTTTTCTTCCTAAGACAGAGAAAGAGATAAAAGAGTACAAGAAAGAGAGAGTGAAGTATTTTTTAATGTTTAGCGTCTTACAAATTCAAAAAAAAAAAAAAGAAGAAAGCGGTGTGATCTGTTACAGACAGGACCTTAAACACATCTCAGAAAACAGGACATGAGGCCAACAAAGCAGTGCGTCTGTTTGTTTGAGCATGCAAATTCATTTTGTATTTATATATAAAATTTAAATATTGAAAGCAAAAAAGTTTTTGATTTGATTTTTGTTGTCCCCATCCTCCAGTGATAGATTTCGTTTATGAAGTCTCTATAAAATTAAAATTTTTCCTTTTTTTGAAATGGGGAACCGAAAAGTAATCAAATTGTTGAATTTTTTCCGTTCTTGTTGGTATGGTATAGTTGTAAGAAGTGACTTTTTTTTTAAATCAACATTATTTAATTTGACTAACTAACAATGTTTTTTTTTTTTTTTGCCCTTTTAAATGATGCCATGTTTGATTGAATTTGAAGGTGATTTTTTTTACTAGGTGAAATTTTTTTAATAAGACTAAAGGTAGGATAAAAAATTGAGACGTTTGAAAATCAATTTAAAATTATAATATTCAATTTGATTCGAATTATTTGTTTGTTTAATTTGAATTAAATTTATATATTAAGTTTGAATCAAATTTGAATTAGGAGACGAATCAATCCAATCAAATCAAATTATATATATTATTTAATTTTTATATATTTTTTAAATTTTTATAAAATAAAAATAATAATTTTATATCAAAAATTATTTTAATGTATTAAAATTTTATATTAAAATAATATATAAAAATTAAAAAAATTAAAAATTGATAAAATCAAATCGAACTGAACTGATAAAATTCAATTTAGTTCATTTTGGATTTGGATTAAATTTTAAAATTTTATAACATTATATAATATTTAAAAGAATCGAACCAAATTCAATCTGAACCGAACTATTATCACCCTTAAATGAGACATAAAAACTAAAGTTGCAGAAATGGTTAAAAAAAAAAAACCAACAATGTTTTAAATTGATCTAAAATGCTTTATAAATAGTATTCTTAAAACCAAAAAGAGAATATTCAATTTTTTTTTCTTATAATAAAAATGTTCAAATATTATAAGCCTAGGAGACTAAATAGTAAGGAGATGAGAAGGGGAAAATCCTTTCTTTTTTGGTATAATATTAACCAAAAATTAACCAAATATCTTTGAAAATGTATAAACTGATAATTAAAAAATATATGTAATTTGCATTAAATTATCTAGGTTAAAATATTAAAAGAGTGAATGAATTTTATCACTTTATTTAAGTAAGTTTTTATATTTTTATTTTATTCAAATAAATTTTTATTTTTTTATTTATATTCAAGTATGCTTTATTTCAAATAAAAATTTTGTTTTTTTTAAGTTTATTTAGGTACAAATTAAATAATAAAAATTTATTTTGATACAAATTAAAATTAAAAAATATATTTTGATAGAATAAAAATATAGAGACTTATCTAAAAAAGTGATAAAGTTCAAGAATTTTTTCTTTATTTTAGTCAAATATCTATCATATTAACATAAACTTTAATCTCGTTAACCATATCAATTTATGTATATGTAATTTCATTAATATTTTTAAATTATGTGTTCACTACATATATTATCAACATATTTTAACAAAAATTAAAATATATATTTTTTATTTTAACCGTAAAAGTTGTCTAAGATTAATTAATTATTTTTTTATTAAGTGACATCCACTTAAAAATTTATATAAAATATTTAATATTTTATTTAACAAATAATATTTATATAACAAAATTATACGGATTATGTATCATATATGCGAGTTAAATTAATAATATTAAAATTTAGATTAAAATAATATATTATTTAAAAGTTTAAATATAAACTATATATTTTGTTCCTTTAAATATTAATATATATTTTAAATTCAGATATAAAAAATTTAATTAACTCAATTTTAAAACCCCAAAGAAAACAGTGAAGGAGCAAGGTTAAAAATTAAATTGCAAGTAACAGCTCAAGCCCAGTCATAAACTGCAGCTGTCGCCGTAGTTGTATTTTTATTTTAGTAAGCTATTGGATTCTTTCTATTGCTTTAAAGATCAAATACCAGTACTTAAAGGAAGGCCCCTCTTGCCCGTTACGTGGACACCAAATCTGAGTCATAAACTGCAGCTGTCGCCGTAGTTGTATTTTTATTTTAGTAAGCTATTGGATTCTTTCTATTGCTTTAAAGATCAAATACCAGTACTTAAAGCAAGGCCCCTCTTGCCTGTTACCTGGACACCAAATCTGAGATTTTAGTTTTTTTATATTAAACAAGTTTGTTATCCGTACAATACATGAATTATTTTGTTTTATTTTTTTATTATTAATTATTCTGTAATTATAATTAAAACTATTTTTTATTGAAGATTTAATTTGTGATGTAGCAAGTTAAAAACTACTTATCATCTAATATAGTTGTTTGTTATCTATTTAATAAGATAAATATAAATAATTTATGTGTGTAAAAAAAATTATTTTCATGATGACATGTAAGATAATTTTTAATTTTATATTATTTATTAAATAAAAATATTTAAAAAATTATTAGTTATTCAAAATTTTAAAATTAAAAAAAAAACAAAATCATATATATCTAATTATTTATGCTTGAAATTAATTTATAGTTAAAATACAATGAAAAAAATCCCATAAATCATGGTTAATTATATTATTATTCAAAAATCACAAATTATTTTTTTAATTTCAATTGTTTTTCTCTTGCCAAATAATCTCATGCACTTTAAGTATGATAACATTATTTATCATATGAAAAATATAAAATTTTATATCAATTAAATCTCATAAAGTTAGTTAAATAAATTTAATTCAATTAAATTAATTAAAATAAATTAAAAAATACATATTTTTAAATTTATATTCATGTTTGATTAATAAATGTTTTCAAAATTCAAACAAAAGAAATTAAAAAAAAAAAACACAAATGGACCATAATTGAATATAATTTTTTAACTTTATTAGAAAGTAAACATGTTCGTTAGTTAGATTATGGGTCGAATTTATAATTTTATGCATAATTTTTTAAGTATGGATTCAAAATATTATTGTATTAAAAATTATTTAAATTTAATTTTAAAATATATTTAATATTATAAAATTTTAAAATTTTAATAATAAATATAAATTAAATAGGTGATTTGAGTTAGACTTGAAACAAAATTTAAAATTTAGAAATGTTTAAAGCTGGATACCACCAAATTCATGGATACTTTTTTATTTTTTAAATTATGTTTAAGAAAATTTTAAGTACTTACTAAATAAGATTTGATTTGAAAAATAAAAAAGCTTGAAATAAAATTGGATTTCAATTTATCTTAACTTTTTTTTTATAAATAAAAAAAGCTTTATGACTTTGAAGACGGGGAAGTACAGCGGATTACAAATTTTTATACAAAATCATAAGCCGATTATATTATATACATAAAATATTATTTCAAAATCCAATTAGTTATTGTTATTTGTAATAATATTTTGATATAAATAGTAGGTTCAAATCAATGTAATTAAGTAGACTATTAATGAAAGTGTTTTTACATATTATAATAAAGCTGAATTAAGAGAAAAAAAATTATCTAATTGAGTGAAGAATCAAATATATATAAAAAAAAAAGGCTTATAGATAGTACCTACAAAATAAAAAAAATTTATATAACTTTGTACCTTATAATATATATATATATATATATATATATATAAAGAAAACCAATTGAAAGAAAAAATATTAATTAATTGAGTGAAGAATCAAAAGTAAAAGAAAAGGTCTATAAATAGTATTTGCAAAATATAAAAATATATGTGTTTATGTAATTTTATATCTAGTAATATATATATAAAAAAAAGTCAAAGTTAAAAATTGTGGATTTACCATAAGTATCTAAAAAAGAAAAAATAAATATTTCTATAACTTCCACTTTTTAATATAAAAAGAAAAAGAGGTAACACAAAAATGGAGAACAATGACAGAAAAAAAAAATCAAATTGATGTTAAGGAATGATATTAAACAATCATTTTGAAATCATTAAGAGATTAAATTTGATCCTTTTAAATAATAAAATATTATTATGAAATCTACTAAGATAAAATTATATTTGATATTTTTAAAATTTAAAATATATAAACAAATTAATTTTAAAAAATGAAATATATATTTATTATTGTCTTAATTGAAAATGATAGGTGAAGTTTTTTATATTCCATCGGCAATCTTTACAATTATTAATATTATAAATTTAATTGTAAAGACAAAAAAAATATAAGCATTCCAAAATATAAAACTAATTATAGATTAAGTGCTTTTTCACTTGTTATTTGATCATTTAGGACTAATCCCACGTTCAAACTTATATATATAATAATTATTAGAAAATTAATTTTTAAAAATAAAAAGATCTATTTAAAGTTGTATTTGACAAATAAAGATAATTTTTTTAGTAAAAAAAACTTTGGATAATTAAAAATTTTCAAATAAACATATCTTAAAAAGATTTGGATAACCAATAATTTTTTAAATATATTTATTTACTCTATAAATAAAAAATAAGAATTAATCTTACTTATTTCAATAAAATCTTACCAAAATAAAAAATAATAATTTTATCCCTTTAATTATTTTAAATTTAAATTGATTTTTCATTTAAAATTTAAAAGTTTTGGATAATTAAATAAATTTTGAAATATATATATTTTTATAAAGAGTCTAAAATTAAAAAATATCTTTTATTTTATTATAAAGAAAAATTTTAACAATTTTCTTCCATGTAAAAAAAATTATCTATGTAAATATCTATATCAATAAATTTTATATGATAATTATATATTTTGTAGTATAATATATATATTAGATTAGATTTCTTCCTCTTCAGCTACTGACATGACTTGTGAGAGACATCAGCACTTTTTTTGTTCATTATTTAGCTGGAACTAGGTATCAAAACAACCGAAAACAGATCTCAACAATGTTAACTTGGATTGGTAAGGGGTGCAACAGCAAACACAAAGTCATTAAATTTTGGGTGGATGTCTATTCGATATGCAAACCAATATTATTGCAGAGAGAGAGAGCAGTTTGTATTTGGCGTGAAGGAAATTCAATTCCATACGAAACGTTGGGATGCTGCCAAAATGACAAACACTGTGCTAAAAGGCCCATCTCTGCTCAAAACTCTTAAAATGAACGTGCGGAATCCAAGGTCCTCCAATCCTACCACCGTTAATGTATAGCTGAGAGGTCAGTATTCGGATGCTTAAGCAAATGCAACTAAGAACTCTTTATATTTTTGGTTAGATTATGCCCTTTGGGACATGCAAGAGTCTGAACTCAGGCCAGCGCAGGGGCCATGTCTGGTCAGTCTAAAAGTGGGGTAAATCACAATGCTGAAGCCTGAAGTGAGTCAGCCTACGTCGATTCGCTGCCAATGCCCATATCCTTCTGATTTGTGCTCATTCCACATTTGCCCACAACAAAGAAGCATACGAAAGGAATGGGTGGTATCGGATACAGTAAATATTTGTTGCAGATCGCAGGCAAGATAAATCCAAATATTCCATGTGGTTTTTTTCTTTGGATTCTCCAAATGAAAAAATAAACTAGGTCAAGAATGGATGGACCACATAAAATTTTGGAGCCTAGTGCACCATTGGGAAAGAATATGCAGCATGTTCTGCTATCAGTTTCAAGCTCAGAAAAGGTGTCATCGTTGGGCTTTAGGATTCCTTCAATCTATATATGGGATAAAATAGTACCGCAGGCTTACTTACAGTACCATTCAGATGCATTAATGTTTTGAGTGTAGATAAAAGGTTTCTTTCCCCCCGTTGGCCCTTGGCCTGTTCTTCTCCTTTCTACTCGTGTTTCGAGTAACAATAGAATTTGAGGAGGAAGCGTTGAAGTTTTTCATTCAACAAATATTTAATGGACACTTACTCTGTGGTCGAAAAGAAATGAGATTTCATGACTGTAAAATGTTTTTAATAATTTTTGTTAGGGTCATTTATAGGTTTAAAGGACAAAATAGGTTTTTCCCTTCTTAGCATAAATCAATAAATAATCAGAGATACTTGGATTATTTTGATTTAACTGACATGTCAAGATAACTTAAATTTATAAATTCACATTAGTTTAATTATTTAATAATCTATATACTAAATCCTTAAGATATTGATTTGTCACGTTTTGAATGAATATTTATCTGTCAATTTAATTTAGATCTATTTGATCAACTTTAGTCTCCTAAGATTAGAGCAGTTTAAACTGTTCAAGGCCCAAATTTCGTAAGTATAAATAACAATATCAAAGTATCTTTCATTTGTTCTGTTTTCATGCATTTTTATACCATTTCCTTTTTTTTCTTTATTAAAATCGATTTTTAATTTGAGCGTTATAATACGAATGTTGAGACCACTCTCGGCTTTTGGTGTTATCCATTCTCTTTCTCCTTTCTATATTTTCAGGGTTTTACTCTTCTAGGACAGCTTGGCACTAATAATTTTGATTAAAAAGCCAAAGAAATAGGTCATCTAAGCAGCTGTTTATTGCCTTGAATTTCATTCAAAACATAGCTCCAAGAACACAAAGCCAACAAATAATATTATATATGTTATTTATATGGAACCAAAAATAGGTCAAAATAATTGTTTGTCCATGAACTAATTTCATGGGACCAAATAGTTCATCTAGCTAGGTTAGAAACTCAACCATAATGCATGCGATAACATTAAACACCACCATTTAACCTTTGTGGTGTCGGTTATCCCTATGAACTATCCTTAAAAGTACTTTTCTTCAATTGCCTGGAGAGTAGAGAAACCTTGAGGGTTGGCCAATGTCACTACTTTTTCTTTGAGTAGCTGTCTTTCATTCTAACCTTGCCGAATTGCCGACAGAACCTTCAGCAATAACACCGAAGAAACGAAAAAGAGGATAGATAAATGATTTTCATATGGCTTCTTTGGCTCTTTTTGCCTTTCTCGCTATATTATTCATGCCCTCAATTCACATCTTGCCCCCTTTACCTTATTTATATGGTAGTGGAAGATCTATGATCCCAATAACATCATGGTTTTTGCATGTATATATATTTTCATATACAAGCAATGTTATCTGCTTCGACAGTCTCATTAGTCGACCACTCATAATTTAAAAGGTGTTTTATCGTCTAGAGTTAGTCAATCTAATATAATTTTCGACTAAATAAAATTTGAGATTATTTTATTAGCGTATAACATATGCCAATTGAGAAATTTTAAGTTCTATCTTATGATCTTGTTTTTTAAACTTGTTTTTAACTAATATATGTGTATGAGCCATAATTAAATAATTTTAAGCATACCCAAGCATTATATAGATGGATTAATTCAATCCTTAAGTTTATACAACTGATAAAAATATTTTTAATTAAAAATTTCATGATAATTGAATATCGTAAAGGAGAAAATAACTTGAAAACTTATGTAATGAAAATTGGATCGAAAACACTAACAATGGTATGATTTATTAGTAGAATATTAAATTTTAATTTTAATAATTAAAATTCAATCCATGATATTTTCAAATAAAAAAAAAATAGGTTGCAATGTACTTCCAATACAAATTATTAGAGCACCTTTATTTATTTTTTTTTTTTGAAGGAGTTCCAAATCTTTGACTGCCATTTTCACTTATCAAGGTTCATATATCTTCCGATGAAGGCTGACCTTTGTTGAAGATTCCTCAGTTTTTATATATTGACCTTTTTACATAAAGAAGGTGGAGTGGAGGGCATCATTTTTATTCATTGGAAACAGTTTCTTCATGTCTAGTTCCCAACAGACAATATTCTGGTTATATGTTCCAACCCTCCTTATGATCTCTTCTTTTTTTTTTTTTTTCTTTTGGGGAAATGTAATCTCCAATGGCTGTTTTGGCACTGTTAAGACTAGGGTTTAAGGACTAAACTAGGATGTTTAATTAGGGAAAAAAATCAGAAACGGAAGGAAGGTATAAGAAGGAAGAAAACTCTGATGCCCTTGGGTTGGGCTTAGAGCTTTGTGGAATTGGTATATTTGGGCCAGGCAAGTTTTAAAAAGCTAGAAAAAAGAAACAGAAAACGGGCTAGCTTTTTGGACCATGGCGTTGTGAAAGCTGAACCGAGCTTAACCTAGTAATAGGGTCGGAAACCATGTTAACCAGAGTTTGCCACAGAGAGTTCCATCAAGCTACGCAGGAAGTCACGGAAATTCTTTAAGTTTTACAAAATAAATATTTGAATCCATACAACGTAAATGTATTGAAATTCTGCTGGATATTCGGTTGTCACCTTTAACATGGAGAGTTTACTTGAGGCTCATTGTTGACACAGCTGAAACTATCCAAATTTGTTTAGTTCACGTTGTTTAACTATAGTTTTGTTAGTTGGAGGATATATTTCCTTCCTTTTCAATGTTAAACGAGGTAAAAACGGCACCATCATCCCATTTTCACTTGTTATAAATAAATACATAAAACAGTTAAATACCACTCAAAATTAAAAAAAAAAAAAAAAAACTGACAATTTCCGGAAGAAGGAAGCGGGGGCTTAGAGTTCTCAATGGAACCGCGTTTCACGGGAACAAAACCCACTTTACCTCCGCTCCGTCCCCGTGTGGAAGCAAAAGAAAAGATGCAGTTTCCTTGCTTCACGTGTCTCTCTGTTATTTCTAACTGTCGATTCATTTTCTCTCTCTGATTTTTTTTTTCTTTTCGTCTCAAAAAATTTAGGGATCAATCATCCTAAATTCTCTCAATCTCTATTTTTTTTAAAAAAAAATTGTTGAGAAAAAAAAGAAAAAAAAGGGAATTGCAAAATGAATATCTTCAGATTTGCAGGTGACATGACTCATTTGATTAGCATCTTAGTGCTTCTCCTCAAAATCTACGCTACCAAATCTTGCTCAGGTAACTTTTCCGCTTCTCATTTTCCGTTTGGTTCCCGAGAACCGGTAAAATGTAAATATTCGAGCACTCTTTTACGTGTAACTTTAATGTTCTTTTTTCCCCCGTGATCTCTCATTTTATTTGTTAATAAAACGGAAAATTTTTTTTGTTTGGTTGCTTAGTAATTGAATTTCTTGAATTTTTTTTTTCTAATTTTCTATCTCTTCATTTCACTAATAATAAATTGAAAGTTTTTAAATAAGCAGAGCATTGGTATCTTCTGTACTTCGCTAATTGAGTTTGCTTTTCTTTTATTTTAGGTATTTCGCTAAAGACTCAGGAGCTATATGCGCTGGTGTTTTTGACTCGCTACTTGGATCTGTTCACGGATTTCATATCTGTGTACAACACCATCATGAAGCTGGTATTCATTGCCAGCTCTCTCGCCGTTGTTTGTTGTATGAGAATGCACCGAGTCGTGAGGCGTTCCTATGACAAGGACCTGGACACATTTCGTCATTATTTTCTTATCTTGGCTAGCTTTGTCTTGGCGCTTTTGGTCAATGAGAAATTCACATTTCAGGAGGTGACCATTCATTGAATTGTCAATGCTTTAGAGAGCTTGATCATAAGAATGTGAATATTGAGAATTTGGTACTGTTTTATACTATTACTAAGTATGCTACCTGATTATGGGTTCGTAACTCGTCTAATTTGTATAGATCTAGTTCCTGATTGGAGTTTTCTTCAAGCTCTAATTACACTAGCTGAAAAGAAAAAGCAAACGGTCTAGAATGCTGAGATAAAACCATGATAGATTTGTTCTTTCTTCTTTCTGTTGCTTTTTGGTTCTCCTTATTTACTTTGATAAACTTAGCATGTTTGGTTTTGGCATGAAATATATGTTACTTCATATGGTTGTCATAAACCATCTCCCTTTTTCTGTTCACAGTGAAAACGAATACTGTCTGTTGACTCAAGTGTTTCCTTATTGGAAGTTTTCCAGAACTTGTTAGAAATACCACACTCTACTGTGGAAAGGAACCCATAAATATTAGTTTGTTTTGGGTGCATGCTTTGGATCTTTCATCCGATGTGGCCGGTGTATTGGTCATTTTGTCAGCCGTCCAATATACTGTTTATACTTTAAGACGAGATTTGGTGCTTTTCTTTTGCTTCATCTTGCGGCTTCCATAATTTTTCTCTAACTAAATATTAATAATTGTACTTCAGAAGCAGTATATTTATTCACTTCACATATCTCTTCTGTTATCTTTTGCTAGTAAATGATGATTGGATTTCTTCCGTTCAGTTTGTTTATCTCTATGTGCTGGCCCCTAAATTAGATGTTCTCTGATATATTTATAGGATCCTAAGCATCCTATCACCCAAAAAAACCCCTTCTCTTCTGTGCCCCTGAACTTTATAGTGTTTCCCCATTTTTGTTGTGGTGGTTCAATTAGTTATTTCATTTTTCCAAACTTTTTTTCTGTTACCTTATGAATTCTTAATTGGAATTGTATTTGTTATTAAATTTTATTTATTGCAGATCTTCTGGGCATTTTCAATCTACTTGGAGGCTCTTGCTATTCTTCCCCAGTTAGTTTTGCTACAACGAAGTGGAAATGTGGATAATTTAACAGGGCAATATGTCTTCTTTTTAGGGTATGCCTAGTTTTCATTCATAGACTCTTAGTAGAAAAGAACCTTTGGTTTGTGACTAAAAAAATTTTCAAAATTTACTCAGCATCGATTATGAGTGGTATTGAATACTTTCCATGCAAATTATATTGTTTTATCATTTGTCATTTTACTTTTACACTGTCTGATGCCTCCTGCATCACCAGCATTAATACTGAAGTGACAATGATCATCTTTGAATCTGGGTACTTGAAATTGGTATTTTTGTTGCAAATCCAACCCCATGGCTGAGCCATTGAGTACCCAGACTGAAGGTTTGTAGAAGTTAACTATGGTTTTTTAATTACCTAAACATATTTTGATTTGATTGACACCCAAATATTGTGTTCTGGGCATAGGATTTTCAGAAAAGTAAGAACAGGAATTGTGTTAAGGCTCAATTAGTTGATTTCATGTAATTTTGTAAATGACTTTTGGATCTAATGGAAGTGATTGTTTCCATAATTGCATGTGAATTCCTTTATCTTTGATGCTGAATCTTTCTACTTCCCTCCCATGTTGTTACTTGCTGCATTCCGTGATGAATGGCATTGACAAATTAACATATAAGCATTCCAGTTGTATGTACAATATTCATTTCCATACAAAGTATTCTGTATCATATTAGACAACAAAGACTGATAATGCATATGCATAGATGTCTAGGTATTGAATTTTGAACAAGCTTATGCACCATTTCCTTCTACCTGAGTAATGTATGCATGTGAATGTGCGTCACTTGGATTAGCAGTGGAATATGCTGAAGAGTAGTTGACTAGTTGCCATTCTTCAACCTCTTTGATGCATTTAGATTTGATTATGCAATTTTTGTGACTATATCTGACAGCTATGTGGTGTATTAATGAAATGATTTTGGATCTGCAGGGCTTATCGTGCTTTCTACATTCTTAACTGGATCTATCGCTATTTTACAGAGCAGCATTTTAGTAGATGGATAGGTAAGAGCCTAAGAGTAATGCTACTTGGTGTGTTTGTTAATTTCTGCATGTTGATATTCTGACTTCTGTCAATATTTTCTTGGTTTTCAGCTTGCGTCTCTGGCCTTGTCCAAACAGTTCTCTACGCAGATTTCTTCTACTATTATTTCATCAGGTAATGAATATCCTTTTTTTAAATGATTTTTACTCACAATGTTAGCATGTGTAAAAATTGTCTTTAATTTCCTGGCAGTTGGAAAAACAACGCTAAAATGCAGCTTCCAGCTTGAGCAAATCTGACAAAGTTGAACTTATAGAGCAAATGTACTGTTTTAAGCCATTGGTTACAGTTGCTTTGATTAAAAGTCTGGGTTTGTTGATACTTGGATGGGGAGTGGAGGATACATGATATGTAGCTCTCACCTAGATTAGATTAGTGCAGTAGTCATAACAATTCATCGGCTTTTCCTTTTTTTTAACTAGTAAAGACACTATTGCGACTCGGGAGAGGATGAAAAATGGAGCTAATAATGTAGTTAGGAGATATCTTGTCAAATTCATTTTTTTTTTTTTTTTGTTGATGAATACTTCATTAAATGCTAGCCACAAATGTTATGGATTTTAAATTGAAACTGGCTGATTATTTAACTCCCACAACCATTCTCCAAGAACCCGTCTTAGATATGATAGGCTTGGGCTGAAAGATCCAATGCCCATGTTATAAATTATTGGACCGAACCTGCTGATCATTATCATTATTGTTATAACCATAGTAGTATTCAATGATTTAATAACCGGACATTGATAAATTGACTCTTTCTATGTGAAAATAATAATTTTTCATAATGATATATAGCTATTATTATAAATCAAGTTTCTAAAGTCATAAGAGGTAGGCTTTTTGGATTAGGTTTCAATTGGATGTCCGGAGATTCAGTCACCAAGAATTTTTTTTTCTCCAAATCATTCAAATGAAGCATTACTTGGTCAAGGAAAGTGTTATTTTTTTTCAATCTGCATGTAATCTTACATTGATTTCGGAGTATAGAGTAACATTTTGAATGTATCTTTTTTTTTTTAATGATTAAAATTTGAGATAAATAAATTATTTAATCTCAAAATAAAATATGTTGTATTTAACAATTTAAAATAAATAATTACAAGTGATGCATTTAAGATAATTTCAATAAATTATCATTGGCGAAATTTAAACTCAAAATTTTTTTGTTAAAATAAATAAATTTAATCAATTAAATCAATCATTTAATGATAAAATTTTGAATGTATCTAGCCTCTGTGAAAGAGTGATTTTAAAATTACAGCAGGGAGTGTGTTTTCAAGCTCGTATGGAAAAGATTGTTACAAAATCTGATAAAACAAATGAAGCTTCAAAAAGAACGAAAACCCATAAGAACGAAAACCCGTAACGGAGATGGCAGACAGGCCAATAAGCAGGTCCAAATACACGTGGTAATTGCCTATTGGATAAGATACCGTGGCAAGGCAACCCTTCTCAATTAATGCTGCGACAAAATAAAAATCGAGAAAATGTAAACAGAGTTTTTCTTCTTCAATTTTTCGTGCTATAAATACCTGATCTCTTTCAGTTGCAACCCATCACGGGGGATTCTCTTTGAAAAATCCGAAACATTTTCTAAGGTAACTTTACTCGAACTAAATCTATTCGGACCCCTTATTTGACTTTCGATCTTCTCAGATCTGCTCCCGAATCCTCACTGTATGTCCTTGATTCTCTTTATTTTAGTTTTTATTTCTTGTTTTCTTATCATTCTTTTCGATGTTTGTTTATTGAGGAATTTCATTTTCCCTGGAAAATGATTTGATGTCTATGTTTTCGTGAGATTATTCGGGATCTGGATTTGCATGTACAAAATTTTTTAGAATGTTTAATTTTTCAAAATTTGATTTACCAGATTTACTTTATGGAGTTGTAGATCTGCTGTTATTTTGGTTGAACTCTGAATAGGTGCGAGTTTGTTTCGGTTTTACTTTTAAGTTTAGCTGATTTGAACGGAACATTTTAAAAAAATCATAATCATGCATCTTTCCGATTAACATAATTTGAAATCACTTTCTTTTTATCTTTTGTTTTGATGTGATATAATCGTTAATGATTAATGGTTGAATGGATGCTAGACGTTATAGTAGTGTTATGGGTAATTAATTTGGATTAGAGCTTATTTAATTATTGTTACTTATTTTAGACTGCATTTGATTGATAGGTCTGCTGCTAAATTGATACTGATTATTATGTAATGAGGATATCAACGGTTTCTTTATAGATTGTTTGATTTTAAAATTTAAATTTTATTTCATTTTTCAAGGCGTCTGTCATATAATCTTTGACTCGTGTTCCGTGCATGTCTCTTCCTGCCCTTGCTATGCAGATATGGCAGAGTATAAGAACGGTTTTTCAGGACTAATGCATGCTTCCTTCTGTCTAAGTAATCATTGTTCTAATTGTAGGAATTGAATGAATGATCTAGAGATTGATATAAAGAGTGATACTGATAATGCGAGGATTCATTAAATATTGGTGTTTTAATTATTTGCTGAAACTTAGGAAAATGTTTCAACTCTTGTAGTAAATTTTTGGGCATTAGCTTTTTCTTGATTTTGACTATCAATGATAGATGTACCGGGGCCTCGTTGATGTCTGTTCATCCCTCTCTTTTCTTTTCCTATTCTGCTCTTAAAGGCATTATATATTTTGCAACTTCTTTTAACTTACAAACCATTGCCGAATTGTTGGTGTAGTTCAGTTCTGAATAGTCAATATGGGAGGAGGGTTCAGAGTGCTGCATTTGGTTAGACCATTCCTTTCATTTCTGCCTGAGGTTCAAAGTGCTGACAGGAAAATTCCTTTTAGAGAGAAGGTCATCTACACTGTCATCTCCCTCTTCATCTTTCTGGTGTGCAGTCAGCTTCCACTTTATGGAATACATTCTACGACGGGTGCTGATCCATTCTATTGGATGCGTGTTATCCTTGCATCCAACCGTGGAACTGTTATGGAACTTGGGATTACCCCCATTGTGACATCTGGATTAGTGATGCAACTTCTGGCTGGTTCAAAGATCATTGAGGTGGACAACAGTGTTCGTGAGGATCGTGCACTCTTGTAAGTGTTATTCACACTATAATATATTTCAGCATTTTAACATTGTTATTCGCTAATTGATGGAATTGCCTTTTAGTCTAAATGAAAGATTTAACTTTATTTTTTACTATAGTTGGATTAGATAAGCAGCTATTTTTTTTATTACATGCAGCAATATTTATGCTATTGGAGCTTTTTGTGCACTACTGATTCAGTGGTTGCTTGTGATTTAGACCTTATTTTTATGTATCCTTAACGATTTCTATGTGCATGTTATAATCTTTCATGCTTTTGCGTGTGCTTCACAGAAATGGGGCTCAAAAGTTGTTGGGCATCCTGATTGCTGTGGGTGAGGCAGTGGCATATGTACTGTCTGGTATGTATGGCAGTGTCAGTCAGCTTGGTGTTGGTAATGCCATTCTTATTATTATTCAACTTTGCTTTGCTGGAATCATTGTGATCTGCCTGGATGAACTTCTCCAGAAGGGATATGGTTTGGGCTCTGGGATCTCCCTTTTCATAGCCACCAATATCTGGTATGTTGTCACATTGTTTTCCATTTTTGACTCAACTCAAATGTATTCCAGTACGTGGATATCCTAAATACTATTTTAATTGTTCAGTGAAAACATAATCTGGAAAGCATTTAGCCCTACAACTATCAATAGTGGTCGGGGTGCTGAATTTGAAGGTGCCGTCATTGCTATGTTCCATCTAATGATAACTAGGACGGACAAAGTTCGAGCACTTCGCGAGGCTTTCTATCGGCAGAATCTTCCAAATGTTACAAACTTACTTGCTACAGTATTGATCTTCCTTATTGTCATCTACTTCCAAGGTTTTCGGGTTGTTTTGCCTGTAAGATCAAAGAATGCACGTGGACAACAAGGTTCATATCCCATTAAGCTATTCTACACCTCCAACATGCCTATCATCCTGCAATCAGCACTTGTTTCAAATCTTTATTTCATCTCCCAGGTACCCCCTTTACTCTATGGTAAATATGGAAAGGCTTCATTGTACTCTTAGTGTTGCACTCCTATAACGCTGTTTATTTTTGTGCAGTTGCTGTACAGGAGGTACAGTGGTAATTTCTTTGTAAATCTGTTGGGCAAGTGGAAGGAGTCTGAATATTCAGGTGGTCAGTTTATCCCTGTTGGTGGTCTAGCATACTATGTTACTCCACCTGCAAGGTTAGAATTGATCTTGTTTGTCTTCCATCTTCTTTTTATGGTTGATTGCACCAATGTATCACACTCCGAATGCATGATTTTCGTTTTTTTTTTGGCTATTTGTTCTTCATCTGTGCTGATGCCTGGTTTTGTCTGAGTATTACTGCAGCTTGGCAGACATGGCAGCAAATCCCTTCCATGCTCTGTTTTATCTGGTGTTCATGCTTTCAGCCTGTGCCTTGTTTTCAAAAACTTGGATTGAAGTTTCTGGTTCTTCTGCCAAGGATGTGGCTAAGCAGCTCAAGGTAACCTTTTATGATAAGTTTTGTTATCTCATCCATCTGTTTTGTATGTTGTCCTTTACCATTAGGCATTACCATAGATTTTTGTTAGTAAAAATTGGCATTTCCAGTCTTCTAACAGGAAAGCTCTAGAAGTGCGGATTCCTTTAGTCTTGTTTGTTTGCAGCATTACCATAGATTTTCATTAGTAAAAATTGGCATTTTCAGTCTTCTGTCGGGAAAGCTCTAAGAGTGCCTATTCCTTTAGTCTTATTTGTTTGCTTCATGCATGAAGTTTAAATTTTGTGGATCCATGTGTTCTCCTAGTTTTTGGCTAATATGTGATTGAATGATGTCAATGCTTTTGTTCCTTTAATATACATTCCCTTGTTAACTATTTTAAAGTTTTTTGGCTGGATGTATTTTTGACTTCTCCATGTTTTGTGTTTTCTTTGCAGGAACAACAAATGGTGATGCCTGGGCATAGAGATTCAAATCTGCAGAAAGAACTGAACCGCTACATACCAACTGCTGCTGCATTTGGTGGAATGTGCATCGGTGCATTAACCGTCTTAGCCGATTTCATGGGAGCAATTGGTTCAGGGACGGGAATATTGCTTGCCGTAACAATCATATATCAGTACTTTGAAACTTTTGAGAAGGAGAGAGCCAGTGAACTGGGCTTCTTCGGCCTCTAAGCCCTAGGTCCATAGAAGATGTTAGGTGGTGCTGTAGAGAGTCATGGCAATTTTGATGATTAAATTCAAAAGATGCAAGTAGGTTCCACCTTTGTTAACACTCCATGGACAGATATTATGGTCAAGATTCTAGTCTTTTGTTTTAGCCCTTTATTTATTTGTTTTTACCATAAATTGTGAAAGTTAGCAAGCACGCAGAGGCAGAGAAACAGAGTTTTCCATTTCAGAATGCAAATGCAATGCGAAACCTTGATTTTATTTTCCTATTTTTCGTATGATTCACAAAGGGGCATAACCTTGAATTCTAGATGCCTGCTTCTTAACCCTTTTTGGCGCATTACGGTGCTCTGTCTCTTTATTTTTTCATAAAATCTTAAGATAAGGTTTCTTCATACCCAGGTCAGATTGTAGGTTTCAGAGATGATTTACAAATTATTCATTATGAAATATGATTGGCAGTAACTCGAATTTAAACTTTATAAATGAAGTATTGGAAGTTAATTTAACCAACTCTGTAGGCGATGCTCTGTCTTTGCAAAAGAACATATGAGACAATAACAAGACATGATCTGGATTTAAAACATAATTACTTAAGCAAAGACGATGATACAAAAAGCAAAATACTTAAACAAAGATGATAATACAAAAATGAGGGTTTCATTTCATAGCTGGTGAAGCACTAGACTAGAGACTCTGACCTTGAAGTGATTTTTTTCTCCTAAAAATCCATTTAACTTAAAAAAAAAAAATCACAGATTGTACCTAATAAGATGTAGTAATCAGAATTTCGAACATTGGAGAAGTTAGGTCTGAACAACAAATAGCAAATGGTTATAACGTGTGGGTGATTACATAAAAGCACATGAATTTCCATATCTTTTGTCCAATAAAGAGACATGAAGCCGCCCAATGGGCCCCCTATTTTTGAAGAAATAGGGTTTCACCTCTTTCATGAATAGACCTTTATGCTTGCCAAGGCTGAAAAGCTGATGGTACCCACTGGGAACAGTACCAGCAGAAGCCGAAATAAATGCTCCCTTATTCAAAGTTTGTCCTTAATAACCTGCATTTCAGGTAGGACTCGTCACTTCAAGATTTGGCCATTAGGTTAGGGGGATCTTAGCCAGTGGTGCTGTACAATAGCTTATAAAAAAATATACATACTCTATTTAAATTCCCTCTCGGTCCTAGCTAGCTAGGAATGCTTTGCCTTTCGGATTCTACGTGAGTTATCCGTCCTACACTTTCTGGTAGAAAAGGAATTGTTGGGTTGAGGTTGGTTGGCAAGTTGGTACTTGGCATGGTCATGGTTAATTTTTCTCCATTTGCTAAAACGAAAAGGTGGAAAAGTAAAGATCTGGTATAATATGATAGGATTAAGTGGTAAAAAAATATTTTTTAATTCAAATTTGTTGTGAAATTTAAAAAATAATTTTTTTATAAATTTATGATGTAAATAAATTTGTTTGGATTGATTTAAAAAGAAAATGAATGTACTAACCAAAATTAAAAAACTCTTTGCCACTTTAAAAAAAAAATCTGGTTTAGAAACAAATGGAATGGGAGATGGATGCTACATTTTCAAGCAAGGTTCTTTATTGTAAGAAGATAAGAGCTGTAAGCCAAAATTAATATAATAAAATGATAATCCTGGCTAGTGATAAAATTAAATGAAATATAAAAGACAAAGATAAGTTAGACTCTTGGTCTTGGCCTTATACCCCAACATCGGTACATACTTATAAAAGACGTCTAGTTGGCATATTTTAGAATCAAATGTATCCAAACCAAACTCTATTCGATTCTTTTCTAAAAATTTGATGACTGATTTTTTTATGTTTTATATATTGCTTCTCGTTCGTCTCATTTTCCTACGTACTCAATTGTCATTATGCTTTCTTCCTCTTTAATTGTATAACAGTTCGTATATATTTTATATGTTGTTGCTTTTTATTTATATACAATGATAATATCCGAGTTATGATTTTTTAAAATTATTATTATTGTAATATAAATTAAAAAAATAAATTACAAATATTAAATTTTAAATTTATTTAATATTATTTTTTATACAAAAATTATATGAATTAATTGAATTAAATCATTATTTAATAATACTTAGCGTTTCACTCGCATTAAACAAACAATTCCTGGTGGTTGATCTATGCATATGCTTCCTATATAAAATTATTAATAATATTTAAATTCAAGCTCTTATTTAAAGAAATCGTCGACTCGCAAAAGTTGAATCTTCAGTTTAATGTTTTAATGTTTGCATGCGATCGATAAGTGATTGTTTATTCTTGACTGAGTGCATGTGTCACGGTTTGTCGGGAGGATCAGGCCCAGTGATTCTCACCGAGACAGGGAGTGGCTCTAAAACAAGATCAAGTCAGAAAACAAGGGAGACTAGACCTAGAGGCACAATGAAAGTCCTAGGGGCAGGACCATGACTCGGAATGAGTGCGCGGGCGCTAAAACGAGCTCAGGAAGCTTAGGCTAGAGGATTCGGTTCGGTAGCTTTCAGACAGATCCAGGAACGAGCGCGAGATTAAGCCCAGGTACGGACAGAGCTGAACCAGGTGTGGGCTCAGGGAAGGCCCCGCGCAGGTACTACTGAAAAAAGATCCAAATTGATTCAAACTCCTTTCTAATAGAGTTCATGTAAAATTAGAACTTTCCAATTGTAATCCTTTGTAATATTTTGTATATATTGGACTTTTGTGATCCTAAAATAGGAATTATCTCAACCATTGATTTAAGAGGATCTTAGCTACAAATAAGAGGTGCCCTTACTCTCATTTCACACATCACAAGTTGAGTAATACAAGTTTATTTTTGTCTATTTCTGTTATTTTCTTTAGCTTTTCATCAAACAGTTTATGTGCAGTTTTGTCTAGCAGCAATTTGGGGTGATTGGTCCTGGGTTCGATTATTTGTTAAAGTTGATTTAAAACACTAGATGAATTCATTCTCAAATCTTAAAATTACATGAATTGAAGCTCGAGTTTCGACTTGTAATAAATATTTATATCTAAACCATGAAAATGATTACTGTTTTTCATGATGTGTCCAAGAACACAAGCAACATTATTGTTTTTCTCATATGTAAATTAAAGACTAACTATAATGTCTCAAGCTTTGCATCACAGCATGTGTTTTGAGGGTCCCAATTAGATAAATAAATTCAAGTTGTAGACAAATCCCTTGATGAAGCCTCAAATAAATTCTTCTCTAGCTATCTGTATTTTATCAATGTCATAATTTGCTATGAGCAATTATTACTTCTAAGTCAACCAATGTCGCGCTTAATTGTACACGACACACATGAAATGCCAGACCATTTAAGAAAGGAAATTATAATTTCCTGTCCACTGCAGTTAATTATTATGACTTGTCTTGTAGTAATAATTAATAATTTGCTATTCCTAAGAAATTTTCATATATGTGTATATATATATATATATTTCACTAAGTAATTAGATAGAATTTGAATTTTTTAAAAATATTGAAGAATGTTAAAATTAAAATTTTAATGTTTTACTAACATATGAACATTTGTATCAATCATAAGTGTATGTGTCAATTTTTTAAAGGGTTAGACTTGTTTACGAGAGTTGACAGAAGTGATAAAGGACTATTTAAGTTCGAATTTTTTTACGATTTTTCATTGGAAGATTATTTGTAAATCTAAAAAATTTACAAATAAAAATCTAATGAATTTATAAATCTTAATTTGGTTGAAGGATTATTTTGATTTTGAAAATAAGATAATTTCTCTAATCTTTAGCTTTTTTTTTTTAAAAAAAAAGCCAGACTCATTTTTTTTCAAAAATTGAGAAAATAAGCTGTCGCATTTAGATATATAATATATATCATATGATTATACGCTTATGGTTATGTACATTGTAGTGGATATCTTCTTTCATCATGGTAAGCCAATGGAGGAGGGGACAGCAGGCAGCAAATCCAAACCTGAATAGTGGATTATATATAGTATCTGAGGTTGAGGGAAGGAGTCTTTCTTACTTTCTTCCATCTTCTCAGTTCAGCTGGGGACCCACCAACAACACATGCACTCTTCAACTTTTTTATTTTTGTTCAATGCCCAAAGAACAAAGCTGACTGACTGCTGAATGTTTGATGCCTACATAGTAAAGGAATGCCTCAACAGTACCTCCATTTTTGCCCAATGCCTCATAAGTCGTGGGCTCCATCAGCCATTAACAATCATCATCTCTTCTACTATTACTACATATACTAAATAAATTATAAAAAGAAAAACTTTAAAATGTAGGTTTTTAAAGATTTAATCTAACATTGTCACTGTTTTGAAGAGGATTAAGGTTCAAGATTCCTACAGAATGATGTTCCATTGTTTTATAAGCTTGTCAGTTCTTAAAATCAAAGAATCCAAGATGTGGCTAACCAAAAAAAAAGAATCCAAGATGTGTTTAAATGAAATGTAAATGGAAATGATTAACACTATGCAATGTACTGGCTTTTGTTGAAAGATGAAAATGAAAACTATAGTTTCCTGATCCCATTTTAACTATACGTAGGAGCAAAAGAAAGAAAAATCTATGGCCTGTGCATCTTTTTCTTTTTTTCCCGCGCTGTAAATCCTACTTTTTCGTTTCTGTCAAGCCAACCGCTCTCTCCGGCTTCAATCTGATAGTCAAATCTGTGCTCTTGGTTGCTTTTTTAACATATCACATTCACTTTCTTTTCTCCAAATTCCTTTGTTTTTTGGGAGGGTCACAATAACCCAAAATCTTTCTGCTTTTTTTTTTTTTCATGTTCCAAACCACATTCACTCCCTTCAATTCGTTCTAATTTCATCTGCCCAAAATGGAAACAGTCAAACCCACATCAACTTTCAGCAGCAACCATAAGAGCATGCTAGCAAGAACCTTTCAAAAGGTCATCAACCTACGAACTGCAACAAAAGTTGCTTCAAGCAATGGGATTGGAATCTGTGTTCTCACATCCCAACTTAAATTCCCACAAGATGATTCAACCCCAGATCTCAAAACTTCTTCACATGCAGACAAACATGGGGACTACAAGGTTAAGCAAAAAGCAGTTTTGGAAGCTCTGATTGCCAAGGTTTTTGCTAGTGTTACTTCTATCAAAGCTGCTTATGCTGAGCTGCAAATGGCTCAACATCCTTACAACAGTGATGCTATTCATGCTGCTGACCAAGCTATTGTGGAAGAACTTAGAGCTCTTTCAGAGCTAAAGCGCAAGTTTTTAAAGAAAGAGCTTGATCTTTCACCTCAAGTTACTCTGATGCTTGCGGAGATTCAGGAACAGCAAAGCTTGATGCGAACTTACGAGATCACAATCAAGAAGTTGGAATCCGATGTTGAAGAAAAATGTTCAGACATTGCTTTACTTCACAAGCAGTTTGAAGATTGCAATGCTTTTAACAAGTCCTTAGAAAAGAAACTAAACGCCAGTGGGCCTTTGTCAATGTTTGATAATATCCAGTTTACAACGTTGAATCCAAGTCACTTTCTGCAAGTTTTACACTGTACTTTGAGATCTGTTCGCAGTTTTGTGAAAATGATGATCAAGGAAATGGAGTTATCCAAGTGGGATCTTGATGCAGCTGCTAAAACCATTGAACCTGGAAGCGTTTTTGCAAAACAGAGCCACAGTTGCTTTGCATTTGAATCTTTTGTGTGTAAAAGAATGTTAGAAGGCTTCAATTCCCATGATTTTGGGCTCACAAAAGATTCTGCCTCAAAAAAACTGGACCGTGAGCATTATTTCAACAAATTCAAGAACCTGAAATCTGCTCACCCAAAATCCTTCTTAATTCAAAACTCAAACTCTTCTTTTGCTAAATTCACCAGAACCAAGTATCTCAACCTTGTCCATGCCAAAATGGAATGTTCATTTTTTGGAAACTTGAACCAAAGGAAGCTAGTTACCTCCGGTGGGTTCCCGGATACAGCTTTTTTCACAGCTTTTGCAGAGATGGCTAGGCGCTTTTGGTTCTTGCATTGCTTGGGATTCTCAATGCATGAACAAGTTTCGGTCTTCCAGGTAAAGAAAGATTGTAGATTCTCTGAGGTTTACATGGAAAACGTGAGTGAAGAATCACCTTTTTCCGGTGAAATCAACGATGCAAATATTGATACTAGAGTCAGTTTCACGGTGGTTCCAGGGTTCAAGATTGGTAAAACTGTGATACAAAGCCAAGTTTATTTATCACCAGTGATTACTCCTCCGGTGAGTCATTGATCTTTTTTTTTAATACTAAATGTACATGTAATGGTGTTATCCACGCTTTTGTTGGTTACACGCGCCGCTAGATGTAAGGTTGGGGGGGTGAGGGAGCTGACTGCTATTTTCAAGTGGGGTTTGTGGTTTTCACTTTTTAAGTTCAGTTTCCACTTGAGAAGTGCAGTTATCTCCCATGTTGTGGAAAGACAAAGCCGCGCGTGGTGGTGGCGAGTGGTTTTGTTCTGCGGATTAAAACTAGGTGGTAGCACCAGCATCTGGAGCCACAGCCCAAAGTGGCACAAGGAGAAAGAGAAGGTGCAGCTTGGTTATGGGCGAGTAGTGTTTTTCCTTTTAATTTAAAAAATTTAGTTTTATGATAGAGAAAGAGAAAATGTTATGGAAAGAAAAAAAAAAAAAACTTGTGTTAATATATATATATATATAATATGGTAGTAGTAGTGTAAAGCAATTTTGTAATGTTAATATGTCCAGAAAGTCAGAAAAATATTTTTAAAGCAAATATGAAAGCTATGATTACCTTTGCTGTGATGCATGAACAATCCCTTTTTATGTTCAATGTATCAGCTTATTCATGTTCCTAAGATTGGGAAATGACAGTTTTCCTAGTTAGTAGGGAAAAGCCTTTTGGTTCTTTACTGTGTCAATCCTGATTAAGGCAAAATTTCTCATCAAGTCTGTTTTTTTTTTGTTTTTCTTCGAATGAACAAAATAGTGGTGCTCTATTTTCAGCAATTGGGTTAGTCATAGAATGCCATATTGTCTTAGGAAAGTGGGCTAAGGCCGTATTTTCAAAATCTGAGCAAAGGGTTCACGGGAGTTGCTATGAAAAATTTGCCTGATTCTGATGTAACGTTCAGCTATGGTTTGTGTGCAACCTGGCATGAACCAGAGATAACTATAGTACAATAATTGCTTGCAGGAGTGAATTATTAGGAGTAAAGCTCATATTCAATTAACAAGCCATATATTTAAAGCATCCGATGAGAAGATTTGTTTCTAAATTCCATGGAACTGTAAGCGATGTGATAACGAGGATCCAAGGGGGAAAAAAATAAAACAGTGCAGCACATGAGAAAAGGTTTAAACGGTTTTAGATTGCATCTTAAATGCAGTGGGCCAATGTCGACAATTCTGGCTTGGTTGTAATCAAGAAATAAATGCTCCAATAAGAAACAAATTAAAATGTTGGCACTTATAGTTAGTTTTCGGCTGGCATTCATGAGACCAAACTGCCAAGCTCTTTGGCAGTTTCCGTGTAGTTCCTAATCTCCATTCGAGATTTGAACCTGCAGGAAACAATGGCTGTAGAGTTCTAGTCACTGCCCAATACGGCCATACATAAGCAACATGCAGTAGATAAAGGCCTCAATGTTAAAAACCTCCATAAAGGCTTGAAAGCTTTGAGCCTTGTGATCCAACGACTAGTTTGACCTTTGGGTGCATCAAACATTACATCCTGCATTAGATAGCCTCAATGTTAAAAACCTCTATAATGGCCTGAAAGCCTTGACCCTTGTGACCCAACGACTAGTTTTGGCCTTTAGGTGCATCAAACATCACATCGCTGACCGAACTAATGTTTGCCTCATGTCACTATTTGCCCATTTTATCAAAGGTTTTGGCAGCTTTAGCAACCCTACCTAATATTCAAGAACCAAACACATTTTTTTTTTACAAAGAACGAGAAAAGGACGTTTCGAAATGATCTTTATGTCTTCTTTAAATACACCTTGACCATTAGATGAAAGAGTTGAAAGATCCAATGACTTCACATGACCTCTTTTTGGCGTTATATTTTGGATTAAACGATTTAAGCTCAGTTATAGCGTTCACTTTAGATTTCAATTCATATTTTAATTGAACAATAAGTCTTTGATTTATCAGTAATCAAGTTAGTAGGAACGCCCACCACATGAAATTCGTTTTTATAACAAAAAGTAGATTTTTCCAGCCATTGTCCAACAGTTTCCAATTGAATGTAAGCATACAAAAACTAGTTGCAATATTTTCTATAAAATTTACAGATTCAATAACGGAAAAGAAATGGATCCAATGGAAAGAAAGAAAAAAAAAAGGTGAAACAATGACATTCGAATATGTTCATTCAACAGGATGACTTTTCAACCGACACCAGCTGCTAGTGTTATCACCACCAGATGAAGTTGATCCTTGCGAAAATAATGATATTCTTATCTGGCTGTACTGCAATAAATTGAATACACACCATCATATATGTGAAGGATGTTATGTTCATGCAGGTGATGGTAAGAGTTATTTGATAGATTTCTTTCAATTCCAAGTCGGTCTCCATGAATCAACCGGCAGGTCCTCTTTAACCCTTCCTTTACAGAGTTCATGTGAAAAAAATTCTCCACATCTACGTCTCAATGACCAAATAACCAGACAGGAGGCCACAAAATGTCCTTTTCAACAGACAACTTCCAAACCAAGCAGAAAATGATATCTACCTTCACAACAGGTCAGGCATGGCATTCTTCTCAACTAGCCAAAAGGATAACAGGCCCAAATTTTGATATAAAGACATGGAAGATATTTCAAAGGGAGCCTTCTGATCCAGTATCTGTGAAGAATTCAGGGTCTGACGCTCCTGCAAGAGCTTCGAGCATGTTTACAACCTCAGTTGGGTCATCCAAATAATACTTGGCTTTGCTAGGTTTCTGACAGACTGTGCAGGCAAAAACAGACGTATTAGAGGAGAGGACACCACTGGAAATTGCACTACTGATTATCTCAAACATTTCCTCATCAGATCTGTCATCGCCAATGCAGAGAACAAAATCAGCCGACCTTCCACTCTCAGCCATGGATGTGAAGACCTTTTCAGCAACCAAACCTTTACTGACTCCCTAAAAGCAACGTTAAAAGTTTGATTAACATCATGCATTCATCCGATCAACAAAACCAATGTCATTAAATCACAAATAACCAACTAAATAACCCCCCCACCCCAAAACTGATTCCATTATATTCACGAGTTACATAAGAACAAGATTTACTTATTTCTATTTTAGGCTTTTCTTGTCCTTATTGGAAAAAATGTACAATTTTCTCTTATTCTAAGATACTGCCATCCAAGTAGCCTAAGAAATAACTAATTTACTACCTAAGCTCAAGAGTAAGGCAAAGTAATCTGTTATATTTCCATCAAAAGAGTAACCTGTAAAACAATATTCAAGCTAGTATTTTCATAATCATTAAGCATACTTCAAAATATTAGAATCACAAATAAAGGAATTGAAAAAAATAGTTTTGCCACATGTCAACCAATTTTAATGTATTAACTAGAAGAAAATTAACTAGAAGAAAATGATCAGAAACTGCAAGAAAGACAAGACATTGCATTCATAAAGTTAGAAAATCTAAACCAAAGTTAACGTAGATACCTGTGGTTTCACTTCAACGATAAACTGGCCACTTTTCACTGCCACTGGTTCATTCGCTAATACACTCTCAAGATGCTCTAACATCTCCTTCGCCTGGCTAGATCCAAAAACTAGGTCTGCATCTCGATGGTGCCAGACCAAGGCACTCTCCTTGTATTCAATAGAGGAGCCATCAGTGGCCTCTGTATACAATTTCATAACAGGCTCAGCTATTTCCTTCCACCCAAATTCACTATTCTGCCCACAAACTTCCCAACTGTCTTTACCAGACCACCTGAAACACAGACAACTTCAAAGTAAGTGCACCTACTAAAGAAGCACTAAAATGGGAGGAAAAAAAAAAAGAAGAAGAAAAAGAAAGTAAACAGCATACCTCATGAAATAACCATGTTCAGCTGCAATTCCAAGTTTTTTACATGGTGAAAACCACTTGCCTAAACTTTCTCTTCCTCTTCCACTTACAACAAAGACTGTATTCTTGATATCACCAGAGAGTGTGTTTATGATTGAGATAACCTCTGCACTTGGGGTCTTGTTATGTGATGTTTGAGGCATTACTGTTCCATCATAGTCCAATAGTATAGCCCTATTTTTGGACCTTTGATACACAGATAAAATGTGATCAATTGACAACTTTCTGAAGTTAGGATCAAGAGCTACAACTCTGAATCCAAAGCTCAAACCAATTCCCCAACAACGTCTTCTGAAGTGGTCTTTACATGTCCTTTCCATATCCTGGAAGAAGCTTCGAGACCAGAATGCCACATCATGTGAGCTAACATACTTATAATGCTTCTCATGGCGCAATTGCTGCTCAGCATCAGCCATAGAGATTGCCTCATTCATTGCCTCGGCAGTTGCTTCAATATTCCAAGGATTTACCCGAATTGCGCCACTGAGTGAAGGAGAGCAACCAATGAACTCTGATACCACTAGCATGCTCTTCTTGGGCCCATTTGATTCTGAGGAAGACTCTGATTCAGATACTCCTTGCCGGCACACAATGTACTCGTAAGGAGTAAGATTCATCCCATCCCTCACAGCTGTGACTACAACGCACTCAGCCATAGTGTAGTATGCCAACCTTTCACTGAGGGATATTGGCCTATCAATGAAGATAACAGGTTCATATCCAGGTTGTCCAAAAGTCTCATTGATTCTCTTGCAGCTGGCCTGTATTTCAGCCTGTATCTCCTCAAGATCTTTTCCTCTTCCCCTAGCTGGGTTTGTGATCTGTACCAGAACTGCTCTTCCCTGCCACTTCGGGTGCTGTTTCAGCATCTGCTCCATTGCCAACAGCTTCAAGTTAACACCTTTAAAGACATCCATGTCATCAACACCAAGCAATACAGTCTTTCCTTCAAACTGTTGTTTAAGCTCTCCTACTCTCCACTCCCTATCAGCAAGTCTCAATACAGACTCGATCTGCGCCATGTGGATCCCAACAGGCATGATCTTTATCCCAATTGTCCTTCCATAGTACTCCAGTCCAATATAACCCCTCTTTGACTGATACTCTAAACCTAACATTCGACTACAACAAGACAGAAAATGCCGAGCATAATCAAAAGTATGAAAACCAATGAGGTCTGAATTCAAGAGTGCCTTGAGGATCTCTTCCCTCACAGGCAAAGTCCTATATATCTCAGATGAAGGGAATGGACTATGTAGAAAAAACCCCATTCTCAATCTAATAAACCTCCTTCTCAAGAATGTAGGCAGCACCATCAAATGATAGTCATGGATCCAAACATAATCATCTTCTGGGTTTATAACCTCAATCACCCTTTGAGAAAAAATCTTATTTGCAGCAACATAGGCCTCCCACAAAGACCTATCAAACCTGCCTCCATGATTTGCTGAAAATGGAAGCATATAATGGAAAAGCGGCCACAGATGCTGTTTACAGAAACCATGATAGAACTTTGTCAAAATGTCAGGTGGCAGAAATGCAGGGACACACTTAAACCTATCCAACAAAAGCTGTGAAACGTCATCCTGTTCATTGGGATCAACATCAACTTTTAAAGAACCAACATACAAAACCTCCATTTCTTCAGGCAAACCATCTTTTAATTGTAATAACAACGAATCATCATCCCAACTAAAACTCCACCCTTTATTATCAGGTCTACGCTTAGCTTTAACTGGGAGTTGATTAGCTACAATAATAATTCTGTCCTGAATAACCGAGGACGGTACATCAGAGGTCACACTATTAGCCTGATCATCATCAAGCTCTGAAATAACCCCGGGAACGGTCATTACCCGTGGCAGCCGTTTCTTTTCACGAGTTTGACCCATTACCGGGAAATTACCAGACGCTAGATCTAAAAGATTAGTATACGACCTTGACATCATCTTTAACCCTCTTTTTTGTTATTACCCTCAACAAGAATCAATCACAAAGATCTCAAAACTACAAACAAGATCCCTCAAGATTTTCGTTTCTCTTCCAAAAATACTCTTTTAATTTGGCACGATCTGCATTGATTTAAAAAAAGGCATCACCTTTACATGAAAAATAAACAAGAATCACATAAAACAAAATAAACCCATGAATAACTTAGATCCCAAATAGGAAAAAAAAAACTAAAAATACCAAAATGAATATTATATCAGAATTCAATCAAAAGTAAACTAAAAAGGCAAAAAAAAAATATTTTTTGAACCAGATGAATCCAAAATAATGGAGTAAATGAAAAATTAAACTTTGAAACAAACTTTACCCTTCAAAGCACAGAGTTTGTGTCTTCAATGGGAACCCTTTGGATCCAACTATCAAAATTTGAAGAAAAAAAGGAAATTCTTTTGCAGGGGTTTCTTTTTGTGAAAGAAGAAATCTAGGGTATGTTTTGAGTTTGTTTTGGTCCTCTCTTTATCTCGAAGAGCCACATTTACAATCCCCTCCTTTTTTTTTTTTTCTTCCTATCGATCCTTTTTCTTTTTGGGTTTGTTACTTTGTTTTTCCTTTTTCTCTCTTGCAATTTGCAAATGTGGGTGTTATTGTAATGCCGTTTGCCCATATGTGAAAAGGCGGCGTGATGCCGCCATGGAGCCTTAGCCGTTCGATTTCACGCAAATTGATCCTAGCCGTTCTTTAAAGATTAACTGGTTGAGCAAGTTGCAGGTGAACCCCAAAATAGGTGTCGCGGGTCCCTTTCATTCCAAAATTCCATTCTCCATTTTTATCCCAAGTTGTATATCACAAAATTTGGGCCCAGTTTCATAGCATTAGGTATAAGTGAAATTAATTTTGATAAAATTAAAATTAATAATAAAAATATTATGATTAAAAAAACTTTATACTTTTTTATTAAAATTAATATTTAAATTTAATTATATCATACTGAAAATGGATAAAATCTAAATCTTTAATTAATTATGAGATTGATTTTTTTAATAAATAAAATCTAAAAATATTAATAAAATACACTCCAAATTTTGGAATATAAAAAAGCTAGAAGATAAGATCGGCCAGTAGGCTACCCAGAATGCCAGCTGGCATTGTTGAGTTTTTCCTTTCACGCGCACTAACTCCCTTCTATCGACGCAGGCTCCAACGTGGCAGCTAATAAAATCGCCACGTGGTTCATTTGATGTGAACCCGTATCCCCACGCGTCATCTTCAAAAAAAAGGCAAAGAAGGCCTCACCTGTTCGCAGGGATGGCCTAAACTCTTTACGCCTAACCACTCCTTTCTTCAACACGTAATAAACGTCTCGATCTTTTTTCCTACGTGTCACTGATTCATTGAAAGGGACTTGGATAGCTCTCCGTGGATATACCCAGGTGGGGATATCCCGTTTCCGCTTCCCCTGTTCAAGACGTCTCCACGTGGCGAACAGCAGTTTTTTTCCGGATAAGATAGAGTAGGTGATGACGAGGACCTGGAGGAAAATTACGTCATCCGTGAAATCACATGGATGAGGTGGCAAAACACGGTTGGAGGAGCTGTTCCTCGGTTTAACCCTTGGTTTGGTTTTGTGCATTGATTCGAGGAACCTGTGGTTGGCAGGTTTTTTTTTTTTATCGAGATGAAATATCTTTTTTGCCCTTTTGAATTTTGGCATGTGGGTTTGGAATTAAGAAGGGTTTGGATGGAATTATGAGAGGCGGGCCAGGGTCAGACCAGTGGTGGGTGTTTTTTGTTGACTCGTATGATGTCTTTCACCTAATTTCGTAGAGATGTTTGCGGATTGGACACAAAAAAAAAAAAAAAAAAAAATGAAGGGAAATTGTTTGGATAGGGGGGAGAGAGAAATTTTAAAGTTCCAATTCAGCATTTCACTTTGTTTCATTACCAAAGAAGGGAAAGATTGGGAAAACATGGAAAAGTTGGTCAAAAACTAGACAAGGGAATCAATGAAAGTAAGAAGTTTTAGGTAGAAGGACAAGTTTTTCATACCATGCATTCACACTTTGGTATATTTCAACATTTTTGCTTTTTTTTTGTCAATATTCAATTATTCATATCTTTTTAGAATCTTCTTTCTATTGTTTAAAATTAATTCAAACTATACCACTTTTCTTCAATTTAAAATATAAAATACTAACCATCATGGAATTTTAAGAAAACCACAATTCTTTTCAATAAAACAGTCAAAATTATGGTATTTTAAGAAAAAACAATTAAATTTTTTATCATCATAGTCAAATTAGTCTTATATGAATATGAATGTGTTACTTGTCCCAAAAAATTTGTACTCTATGACATAACATATAATTATTGATTAAATTCAAAGGTATGGTATGTCAATTCATGAGTGGTATAGTGGTGGAATGAAGGGATAAAAGTGGTAGAGGGAATAGTATTTTTTAAATATAATAATTAGAAATAATTTTTAAAATTATTTTATTTGAATGATAATTTAGTATATCCTATAAATAGGTAAGAAATTCGTTGTGCATATCTATGTTCATTATTGCTATCAAAATGATAAAATTATTGCTACTATTACATACCTACTTTCTCAATGACCCTATAGTTAGACTCGTTTTGGATTACATGTTATAGTTTTATAACGCTTTAATATTATAAAAAATGGGTAAAATTATGTTTGATTTTGTATTATATTTTTTTCAATGAAATATTTATGTTTTAAAAATATTTAAAGGGATGTGTGTATTTGAAAATTCTTTTAATTTTAATGATAATTGTGAATTGCAATCTTTAAATCTTTGATTAGTTAAAGAAATCAAAGTATTCATTTGAAGCAACATGAGAAAGGGAAAAAAAAAAAAGGTTTGGAGATGACATCCTTTCAATTTCGTGATAGAGAAGGGCTATTATCTATCTTCATCCTGTACTTGAAAAGTTGTTCAATATAATTTTTAGGTTTGTTGAATTAAATACTTTTCTTCTTCAATATCCAGAAGCATAAATGCTTGAATGCACCTTCAATGGCATATTCCAAGTGTATAATCTCTGGTTCTAAGTGCCATATCAAATTAATTTTGATGGACCCCCGCTTTTGGTTATGGTAATTTCCACCATATGTATCACAAACTTTTTTATTCAATCAATCATCAATTTGCTTAAAGGTTTACCGATGATTTTTTATTGCAAAAAAAAAAAAATGTAGTCTTTTTGGGAGTTTATGTTAAAATTTTGCTTGTTTTGTTGCATTATTGCTGTTTTTTTTCTTATAGGTTTATGGGGTAGGTAAGCATTTGAACTGTCTTTTATCGGTTGTCATGGAGACTTGAGACATTGGATTTTCCAACAAACAAGAAAGCTACCTATGTAAAACTCAATTTCCTCATACACCCATCAATGGAAAATGTATAGTACAGCATTAAAAACAAAGGGAAAAGAGAGAAGGAAACGACAAAACCGATCTATAGGCCTTTGGGGATATCTCCAATGTGAATTTCGAGCATTCTAATTTCAAACAAAATTTGGTGATTTGAGACTAAAGCCAGTGACAGAATGGCTTCACAGAAAATTGCTGTTGAATTGGCCACCAGGGTTGTTGGGAACTGGAAGGAGACTTATCAATGGATACCAATATACGGAGCTTTTGCCACTATTGCACTGGCATTTTCAGTTGGTGCCAACAATCTTCCAGCCCCGGTTTGTCTTTCAATTTTCTATTTGTTCAGCTTTCCATGCTTTAAATGAATTACCACGAACTAATCAAACAAAGCAGCTCAGTTGCACAGCTCATAACTTACTTGCAAGGCAAGTTATATGGCATTGATCATGAGTTTTGAAGCTTGAAAATTTGAGATCCCGCATAAACGATCCAATGGAAAACACGCAATTTATAAGCTTAATAACCCATTTTTTCTTATGGCATCTGAAAATAATTGTTTTTTGTTTTACTGGCAGTTTTCAGCATCAGTAGGGACAGGGGCTTTAACCCTTTTGAAGGCCTCAATCATGGCTAGCGCCATATATGTTCCGGGAGCGGCCTCTGCAAGCAACAGTACTACTGTTAATGCTTTATTTTTCAATGTATGGAAAAGATGTCATTTTCTAAGTCCTAATTTTACTTGTTTTCACTTTACCAAACAGAAGCTTGACCCAATGCAAAGGTTTCTTAAATGGATAAGCAAATATTTAGTGGCAAAAGGCCTGATGAAGTTTCGTTTTCATGCAGTTCCTCAAAGAAAGTCAACCCACTGAAGGTTTCTTGATGTGGAGTATGGTAGTTGTTCTCCTCACAGCAAGTACTTTTTAACACTTGGATCTCATTGATTGCTTTTATTACCAATTATACACAGACTGGTTTGCTGAAAAGAAGAGGAAAAGAAAGAAAAGGACATGACAGAAACAAAAAGTTCAGAACTTTTACAACTAAAGTCCAACCCATATGATTGAATCACTCTGCAACACTTACTATTTTTCTTTGGCTTGACATTGAAATAGATAAATATTGCAATTATCAATGGAAACTAATAGTTCATGATACTTATATTTTTTTACATGGACAGCAATGTGGCTTGCACTTGCTACACACCTAGAGTTACCTGTCTCATCTCTGCAATCAATACAGGGTGCCATGTTAGGAACCATGCTAGTTGCAAAAGGTTTTGACTACTTACCACTATGGAACAAGGTAAAAGCAAATGCTAGATATAACAATGAAAATATGTTGCTGCAGATTAGTTGTTTTTCAGCACCCAACTAAACATAGATTGGAAAGAAATGATCTCCTAACTAAATTTAACTAATTTGTTTGTGGAATACTTCAGTCCTTGTTCTAACTGATAGCATAATGCAGAATGATAATCACAATTTTAATGGTGGAGGACTGCTCTGGATATTCCTTGAATGGACTTTTGCCCCGTCTATCGCCTGTCTATGTGCATGTTTCCTCTTTGCTGTCTTGAAGGGTTCTCTACTTCGCCCTGAAAATGCAGAGAAAAGGATTCTTATTTTCCTACCTATTGACTATGGAATATCTGCAGGATTACTTTGCTTCTTCATCATATCTCAGGTTTGCTTAATCTCAACCAATCTCATTTTTCATTCAAAAAATGCCCGTAATCATATATAGCTTCGGAGTCATTGATTGAAGGACATGTTTTCTCCATGTGGAGAGCTGTTTTTTGTATCCATAGAACTTCAGACAAGAAGGGCCGGATTCCGGAAAGAGATTATTAAAGGCTTCCCCATACTCTTTTAATGTGTAATTTCACACAATATATATTGCTCCTTATTATGAGTAATTGTTGCAACGGCTTTTTTGGCAGAGTCATGAAACCAGTATTTGCTTATATTTACTTATCCAAAAAAATTTTTGATTAGCTGACTGAATGTGACATTATTTATTTTTTAGTTTGGGGACAGTTGGATGATTATCTTCATTTATATTATTGCCTATTTAATTAGTGGCACTGTTTCATATTTTGGTTGGCAGGTCATAGGGAACTATGTGGATGTTAATAGATTGACTGTTCTAATTGCTGTTGCAGGGTCTGCCTCAATTGGAGCACTGTTATCTTTGGTAAATAGTACAATCACAGTATTTATTTCATATTATTTTGCTGTTGTAAATTCTCTTACCATCCAATGGTTTCTCCTCTTCGTATTTGTATCTAATCCTTCATTTCTATGACCCTAATTGGGTTTTGCCACAGGTTGTGGTGGTTCCTTTGGCAATGAAAAAACTTGCTACTATCCAAAATCACAGAAATTCTAAGGAAAACACATCTAATATCCATGAATCTGTAGAATGTCAGGAAACTCAGGGCCAGTCTAGTGGTGTAAAATTGGATGATGATGATGTTGATGAAATGTTGAAAGATTTTATGCGGAGGAGAGTCCTTGATACAGTCTATGAGGAGGAAGAAAGATGTTGGGCTTCACTGGATGTGATCCAAGAGCCTGACCAGGTTCAACCTGTTTCTCAGTGTAGTGCTAATACTGGTGTAGAGCAACCGGCTCCATTTAAACAGCTGCTTAAGTCAACGCCAAACAGGTTGGTTCAAACGAGGAACTTTCAAAGGATGGAGAAAACAACACCAATTGAAAATGTCATCAAGTTTATGAGAAATATGGCAAAGTCCACCTTTTCCCCTGTAAGTCAGGGTATTATACTAACTTGGTTGGGTAAAAATGCACAATTTCATCTCTTCCTCTGTAAGAAATGAAGAAATGCTGGTTTTGCTGACATGCATATATGATTGCAATTGATTAGGTCCTTGAGTATGACAGAAGAACTCTCATTCGGCACGCCTTAGCTGAAAAATACGATGAGATAGAAGACTGCTTCTGTTTTCCTCAACTTCTAGCATCATGCATCTTTGCGTAGGTTTTACTTCTGCACTAAACCAAAAGCAAACAATTTTAGTTTATACGTGTTGAATACCCTGGCAATGCAAAAGCATACTGAAATTTATCAACATGCGATTATAGTGCTTTCAACCTTAGCCTTGGTATGCAGGCTTATTCAATCCGCTACTGAGATAGCTGCTATTGTGAATCCATATGTAGCTATTCTTGATGTGTTCAATCATAGATCAAAATATTCTGTAAATGGGGAAGATGTGGTGAGTTACTGCAACATTATCGAACCATTTGTTTTGACAAGTAACCAAAATACATTTAAAAATTCATGACATTATCAGGGGCATTTACAAGTGAAGTGGTGGTTTAGAGGTATTGGCGGACTTGTTGCTGCAATGGGATTTCTTCTATGCGGGTGGAGGCTGACTCAATGCCTTGGTGGCAAGCTGACATACATAAGCAACTCCAGAGGTTGGGCATCTCAGTTGTCAACCGTGGCAGCAATGATCATAGTTTCTAGGGTGAAGCTACCTGTTTCGAGCGTCCATACTTTTGTGGGTTCTTTGATAGGACTTGGGATAGCAGATGATCACCGGGCAAGATTTCCTCACCAATTCTTTTCATTTTGTACCCTCCTTGAGTCAAAACATTAACTTATTTAAGATTTCTGTTTTGCAGAATGTTAACTGGAAACTCCTTTGCAAAATCTTATGTGGGTGGATCATGACCATAATCTTTTGCTGCGGGGTTGCTTATCTGATTTTCTCCGCCTCCATACACACGCCAGCCTATGCAGTGCCCTGATTCTTTATGTCTTAAGTACAAGTGTATCTAGTGGCCAAAACCAAAAAGCATTTCCTTGGAATCAAATTCCATTACTTGACTAGCATTTATAATATAAGTAAGTCCACTAGGAACTGAGAGATAAGGTTAGAATGGAAGGGCCCTGCTCTCCATTAAAACCCGGAATTTTTTCCAATATTGTGATCTCTTATTTACACTTTCGGTTTATTTGAATCAAACTTTCAAACTTTCAAACTTAAACGCTAACCTAATCCTTTGATGGGCTGTGGCTGATATGTATGCACATAGAATGTGCGCTAAATCAAACCTGTCCCTACCCAAGAACGTTGCAAAGAAAAAGCATGTAATGATATGACATTTCAATTTCCAAAAGGTGAGCTTAATCATCAAGAAAACTCTTATTTTTCTATAAAAATTGAGGGTAGAGGCCGAAAAATGAAATAGATTCAATTATTTAGCCTAGCAATATTCATTGTCAACTGGCCTGCAACAGCAACCACATCTTCATCAATCTATTACGCACCTAACCATGCACATCGGCGACGTGCCAGCAGCCATATCTATTTTCTATTCCATCAGCTATATTTTTCCACGACGGTTCAAAAGGTACAATCATATCCTCTTCGCACATTTCACTGAAGATCTATGCCAAAGTCAAAAATTAATCGTTTCCCCACATTCTCTTGCGTCCTTGCTTTGAAGGCCTAACCGCCCATATTCAAAGATAATGACAATTATTTGCTTTACTATAAAGAAATAAATGTGCTATAACCCACATGCTTTTACGGTGTCCCATTTTCATTATACAGTTGATACGTCTATTATTCTCCATCAAAGGTGCATAGTTATAAAAATCACCCTTATATCCTATGCATAAGATGATAGATAAAATAATATAATAATTATTTTATATTGTATTTGATTATTTCTAATTGAAGAAGATATGATTACAAAAAGAGTATATCATCTTGATATAAGATAATTTAGTCATTTTAAAATTAAACTTATATATCATGCTATACTCTTAAAAATTATATTAATAATTTAAATAATATAAATTTTGAAGAAGGATAATTTTGATTAATAAATAAAATTTTCTATCTTAATGATTATATTCATCAAACATAAGATATGATGACATTATTTAATCTAATTTTATTTATAATATTATCTTATCTTATTTTATCATAATCTTATGTACCAAACATGACTTTAAATATATATATATATATAATTTACAGGTAGATATTAAATTAAGATTTATATTTGATTAACTATCAGTGTATAAATTTTATACATTATCAGTGAATTAGATAATGTTATTTCATTAATAAAATGAATCAGATGATACAATCTCATTAATAAATAAATTTTTTTAAAAATATTATTTATTTATTTTAAAAGTTAATATTTGTTTATTAATGAAAACATTACCTAATTTACTGATAATATATATAATTTATATTCAGACAATATATTAAATATAAACTCACTAAAATATCTTACTTAGGTATATTTTTGTTGTTTAATTTCTATTAGACATTGTTGAAAAATTTGAAACTATGACTGATCACTTCATTCCTGATTTCCTCCCATTAAGGGCAGTTGGGAGATATTTAATTAGATGAGAGTCAGCGGATTTATATATATGGTAATAGGTTTTTTTTTTTTTTTTCTCTTCTTAAAGAAAAATGAAATAATTAGTCCACACCAAGAGATATTAAATAGATTCAGTGTATCAGAAAGATTAAAGATTATAGTTTTTTATTCTTGATTTTGCCTGTAAGAGCTGCCCAGAACCTCTGCTTTCCTAGGATAAACCAAGTTTAGGTCTATGAGACAAAGCATTGATTGACCAAAGAACCCTGTGTAACATAACATCTCCTTCATCTATGTTTCTTTCCTCCCAATTACCTCCGACTTACCTAAAAATCCCATGATATTTTTAGCTAATTTATATCATCTTAAAGAATCTGCTGTAGAGTTTATATAAGCCTGTTAATTATTTCAATTTATAAGTTTTTTTTAATATTTAAGATTGTTAGAAATTAAATCCGTATCATTGAAATAAAATTTTAATATTTTATTAATAAATTATATAACTGTTGATTTAATTTATAAAATTAATATTATAAGATCTTCAACTTCTTAACTTAATAATTAAGAAGGTTTAAAAATATATATATAAGGTATAGCTTTGTAGTAATTAACATTTAATTCTGAAATTTGTCATCTTTTCCTTAATTGTTTCTTGATGAACCACTAAATACTCGGTGTGGGTGGTTCTTATCGTCAGATATTGCAGATAAAGCAGCACACTATGAACTGTTCATTGCCATTTTCCTACACCAACCTTGGGCCCCCAACCCCCAATCCCCTGTTTCCATTTTCTTTTCCTAGTTACTTTTTGTGGTTCCTACTTAAAACGATCATACAACAAAGATTCTTTAATTCGCTAAATGTTTAAGCTCTTTTCAAAAGCTGTCCTTGTAAATCAAAAGCTAGCTCGCCAAATACATATTGTTCACAAATCACCCCAGTTTTGCTCCCCCCACAACCTTAAAGCATATCATGGCTGCCTTCAATTATTCACTTTTCTTGATCGGTTTCATGATATTTCCAATGTTATTGCCAAGAACCGTTTCTGCAATTCGAATCCAACAGCAACAGACGCCATCAAAGTCTCCAAGTGAAGGGGCTAATCCGAACATGCTAGCAGTTCATAATGTTCCGCCGCAAGAATCACATGAAAATGTTTTTCCTGTTCTCATGAAGGGTCGAAGAATAACGCCTTCCAGTCCCAGCCACAGGGGCAATACCGCACCCATTTTCACGAGGCATCTCTTGAGAAAAGTCGATACTATAAGCTTTCAAGAGCTAAGTTCTGTGCCAAGCCCCGGAGTTGGCCATCGATGAAACCTATAACTTTGCACTTGTCCCCATGTTCTTGTTGAACTTCATTTTTAACTGTTCGGGTTGTTTAAAAACAAAGTGTAGAGAAGGCAAAAGATATATAGCTCAATTTTTAGTGGCTTGTAAAAGATTCGATCTGTATCAAATTTTCATTTTCATTGCAATCAAATCCTATAATAAGATTTAATTCCTCGTCACCATGTTTGATTTTTGAGAATTATCTAAGGTTTGATCAATTAGTTACCATTAGTTACTTTCCGAATCACATTCTTCATTTCAACTTATGTTTGTTTTACTTTGATGCATTGAGGGTACTACTAGACTCTCTTTTCTGAAGTTGCCTAGAAAGTCCATGTGAAGCTAATGTGCAAAATGTGTCAGATCGTATATATATATTAATGAAAAAAACCCATTGATATGGTGAAAAAACTAATACGATTTTCTTTTGCAGAGGATGTTGGTGGTACAACTGCCTAGCTATTAACAATACTGAAGGCATTTTTACTTCACATAAACTTCTGTCCAACATCTTTTATAACTTCAATAACAAGTCAACTTAATAAACCAGGTACAGAAGAATTTTTTGTAAACAGACAGTCACATTCTTCAACAAGATTTCCCCTATGATACTGTATTTCTTGTGTCTTATGATCCCACAATCCAGTGGTTCCGGCCTGGTCATGTAAACCAATTTTGACTTGATCTCTTATTTTAATAGCTCTAGCCTTGATGGCCAGGAATGGGATGTACATAAGAAGCTTTCTCATTTTTTCCTTTTACCCTTCACAACCTTGCTCATTTTCATGGCCTTTTCAGTACTACTCCAGCAACTTGACGCCCTGAATCTGTCTCGCAATGAATGCACATCTCCTCCTTCGTGGAAAATTATCACTGCATAGTCTTTAAAATTACCATTATAATTTATAGAGCGATTGAGTATGGCAACATGACATGGGAAGAAACATGGAAGATTAAGCTTTCCCTACCACTAATGGAGATTTGAAGTTTTTAGGAATTTTCATAACCAATCTGACCACGCGCCCATTAATCTGACTATTTGTAGTTAACCAACAATGCATTTTACGCCAGTAGTTTACTTTAAGTGATTCAAGATATAATTCTTTCTTTTCCATGTTTTAGACCACCGTCAAAATGTGATTCAAGACCCCACTGTCATTTGTTAACTAAATTTAGCCAAGGACGGGATCTTGCTTGGAACGCCGACCAACGATTTTGAAACACGGTTAATTGGGACTATGAGATTAAATGCAAAAAAACGTGTCAAATTTCTCTTCAACTCAGGTTGTTTTCGTACGAAATTTGGCTCTTTTAAGTCTTAACTTTAGACCTAAGGCATGCTTTCAATTGGTCATTCTGTCAAAAAATTGTCTACGTGCATTTAGTCTATTGAATTCCATAACACGAAACATCCGACATCTTGGAAAAACTCCCTCTTACATTATCACTACGTGATTAAGTCTAGGGATCGAAAACACATGTGCAAATTTTTAGGCAAGGAAAATGATACACGTATGGTCCAAACCGTGGAGTCAAACCGTCAAGGATTTTCTGGGAGGCTGCTCACATGGTGGCCCTTGAGGCCTTGACTGAGTGACATTGAGAGGGCATCTCACATTACAAATCAGACCCTTCCTTTACCTTCCCTGCTGTCAGTAACAGTACATTTTACATTTGCACATGTTTCACTTAGAGTCTAACTGAGGCAATGTTTAATAGGCTAGGCAAGATTTGAAGAAAGAACCTTTCAATTCTATCATCTAATCACCTGTTCATGCCATAAATTAAGGTTTACCTTGAAAAATTGTCTTCTAAAATCTACACCACTGTCATACAAGACCGATGTACTGCCTTAAATCAAACAGTTTGGATAAATATTTGAAGTCCGGTAGAGATTCTTGTTTCATCCTAAGTTTTTGTCATACTTGATTTTAGCAGTCTAAACTGGTTGATGTCAATTAGGTTCTCAATCTCATCAAAGCATAAAGAACTATACAAATATATATATATATATATATGTATTAAAGAATGAAGAACAACGGATCAGTGCCAAAAATCAACTGTTAATGATGAGCATCCAATCGCGGTTGTCACAGATAAAAGATTAGGACAAATGATGGTCAATTGAACCACAAACATTTGCAAAACGATTTGTTTTCAGGTGTCCCGGTTTTTGCAGATGACTGGTGTTTTTATGGAGTCCTTGTGTTGGTATGGAGCATGGACAAGGCAAAATTACGTCGGCATTTTTTATCATTGCGCTTTTAAGCATGCAAATTATTTATCTAGCTTATCA